TGTGATCATGTCACTGCACTCCAGCCTAAGCGACAGAGTGAGACCCTGTCTCAAAAAAAAAAAAAAAAAAAAAAAAGAACTTGGGCAGCTTTTGCCGCTGCCTCAAGGCTTCCAGGTGGGCTAACTGCTTTAATTGCTTTTGAGACTTCAATGTCTTTGCCATTTGTTGTTGTTGTTTTGTTTTTTGGTCGGGACTGCAAGAACAAGGTGACCAGTAGAGGGATTTTCTCAGGAAGTGATGATTTTCACTCAAGTTGGGAACTTTCACACAACTTGGGAACTTCCAGATGTCTGTGAGTAAGAGGGGCCTTCCAGAGATGAGGGTGCTGTCACTTCCCATGGTGGCGTTTCAGGTATGCCAGCCTCTGAGGCTGGGACTGCTGTTCAGGGTCTTCCACGGAGAGGAAAAGTCCAACCAGGAGAGCTTGGCGTTTCTACCCGCCCATTTCCAGGTTGGAAACCTGGAAATATGAGAACCACCCAGAGATAACGGGGTGCTTGTTCATTTAGGGAAAAATTTCCCCACAAGAGGGGAGCTTGTTCTTTTAGGGGAAAATTTCCAGGTCCGTTGAGGTCTTCTACACAGTGTGGCTGTAGCAGAAAATAATGGTGACATGATATGGCTAGACAGGGGGTGGGGGGTTGGTTTACCCTGGCACACAAGTGCCATGTGAGGAGAATTTGGAAGTTCCTTAACTCCAGGCTGGAGGGAGAGCAGTGGACTCAGAAGGTGGCTACAGAGTTTACTATGGGACTGCCGTGGTGAGCAGTGACATGATCTTGTGGCAGAAATGCCCATGAAGCTATAACCATAGGGTACTGTCTGAATTCCCAACACTTGGAAGACCCCCATCCCTAGGATAAGGATGCATGATTAGAAGCCACAGTAGGGCCAAACACAGGCTGAATTTCTCCTGGGCAAGAGAAACAAAATAAAGAAATGAGACTGGACCAGCTCTGAGTCTGGCTGGATCAGGGATCTGAGTGCATTCCCCAGGAACCCTGCACTAGCTCAGTCCTCAGGACGCCACTTTCTGTCTAGTATGTCGGCCCTGCTCCTTAGGTGCTGAGAAGGGGAACTGCTATGGCTCTGTTTAGGCAAGAGAAATTCCTGCTGCCCTCTGTAACAGGAGTACTTCAGTAAAGAACGTCAGCAAGCTCAAAGCTTTAGGAATCTCATTTGTTGAAAGTACTGACTGAAGAGCAAAGGCTCATGGGGTATTCAGAAGATGCAGACAAAAAACCTCATATGCAGCCTCATGCCTTGAGTAGGATTCTGTTGCTAGTGCACCAGGGCCAGGACCAGAAGTTTCATTTTGAGTTTTGCTAATTCGTTTTGAGTTTTACTAACAAGAACAGGCTTCTGAGTTCACGGGAGCCCTGTGCATCTTCCCAGTACCAGCTATCCCACTCGAAATTGAAGAAAATCTCATCACGTCCTTAGCAATGGGCATTTCCCTTTCTTTCCTATTCCCTTCCGAAGCTGGAGCCTAGGGCTTCCAGCTCTCCCTTCATCTCCTGCATTCTCCAGGTTCCAGGAGGACCCCGTGGGGTCAGCCCCTACAGATGAAGTGATTTAGGGATCAGGACTTCTCTCTGCTTCCAGTGGCTGCCCTAGAGACAATGCCCTTGTGTTTTCTCTTCCCATTTCCCTTGTTTCACAGAAGTGCCACTTTCTGGTGATTAAAAACCCAAGAAAATTATCTTCAAGTCGTCTTTCCCCATTTCTCATAAAAAGGCAAGCCCTTTGCATGGATGTGTGACAACAGGTGGCTTCATCCACGAGGTACTGTGCTGAGCCAATACTGCCGCCCACAAGTGGACGGAGGGAAAGGGCAATTTGAAAAGACTGTCCTGAGAGACTGTATTAGTCAGCTGAGGCTACATTCCGCTGAGTACGAAACCACTCCCAGACCTCAGAGACTTCTAGTGTGATGTTTGATTTCTCACTCAAGTTATATGTCGTTCCCAAGCCAGGGCTCTGTTCCATGTTTCCTGTGATCCAGCACCCAGGCTGATAGGGGTGCCTTCATCTGGAGCAGTGCAGGTCTCACAGCACAGCAGACATGGCAGGTGCAGGCTACCTCATAAGGCTTCCACAGACATGTCTCCCCATTTTTCACTGGACAGAGCGAGATACTGGGCTACTCCTGGGTTCAACAAGATGAAGTTTATAATCCTCCTGCAAGGGGGAGATGGACACATGCCAAAGGCCAAACTTGACCTCGGTGGGCAAGATGTACACATTTCCTGTTTATGCAGAGAGAAGATGCTGAGTACTCATACAGTCTGCGCTAGTGTATATACCGCCTGGCATCCCACTGCCCCAGGGCATCCTTATTACCCCTGTGTTGCTCTATCCACTCATGGCTTTTCCGCTGTCAGGACCTCTATCCTGGGCCCCGCGTATCATCACTGGGCTGGGAGCTGCACTAAGTATCTGGGCTGGTGAGGGACAGTTCCTGGTCCTGCTCAAGTGGGGTGAGGCAATGACAATGGTTGCCGGATTCCCCAAATTTCAGAATCTGAGAACGCTGATGCAATTTCCAAAATAGGGTGTTTAGGTTCTGCAATAACCCAACGGCAGGATAAGTGATTTAGGCTTCCACGGGCTGCCTGAGAACCTCTTCACCTACTTGTAGCTCTTTCAGTCAGCAAATGACTTCTGAGTTCCAACTCCCTGAGCATCACATGCTGCCAGAACAGAGCTATTTAATCCACACACATCACAGAGAAAGCAAGAAACTCAGAGGCATGAATAGTGTCTTTAACATAGTCTCATATTTGGAAAAGCAGTTTAAAAAAAACAATTGAAAATACAAGATAAGGTAAGGGTTACTTATATAAGTTTTAACCTTATATTGCTTGGCCATTTTTACATATAAATTATTGCTTACTAGCTTCGATAAATACACAGCACAGTCATATATATATATAATATATATACACAGAGGCAGAAAGCATGGAATATGGGAAAGAAAACACTGTTAATGGCAATTCTGGTAACTCAACAAATGTTTCATATTTACCAGTTCTTTAAATGGTGGAAAACTACCAAGTGTAGTCCCTGAGAAGTTAGGTAGACACCCTGATGGCGGGTTCTCTATCTTCTAATTGTTAATGCAAGCTGACAATATCACAGCAGCCCTAATTAATGATATATTAAAAGACAAGATTTCTTGCTTCAGGTCACTGATTTCATCCCAGTATTTAATAACAGTGTAATACGAATACAATAAATAGACTATGCAAATAAATATTACTCTGCTAAAAAATGTTTAGTATATACAGCTTTGCTTTATACAGTAATACATTTTCATCTAACTTTTTGGCAATTTTTAAAAACATCCCCCCCCCCAACCAGTTTTAAGCAAAACTGGCCCACTCGCTAAGAAGCAGGCTGAAATTTTAAGGACATGTTTTTGAAACATTTAAAAGAAATCCTAGGCCGGGCGCGGTGGCTCAAGCCTGTAATCCCAGCACTTTGGGAGGCTGAGACAGGTGGATCACGAGGTCAGGAGATCGAGACCGTCCTGGCTAACGGTGAAACCCCGTCTCTACTAAAAAATACAAAAAACTAGCCGGGCGTGGTGGCGGGCGCCTGTAGTCCCAGCTACTCGGGAGGCTGAGGCAGGAGAATGGCGTGAACCCGGGAGGCGGAGCTTGCGGTGAGCTGAGATCCGGCCACTGCACTCCAGCCTGGGCGACAGAGCAAGACTCCCTCTCAAAAAAAAAAAAAAAAGAAATCCTGTGTTGGACCACTGCAGAAGACCTGATCATCCCCATTTTAATGTTTTTGCCCAGTTTCTGAGAAGTCTGGATTGGCTGTGCCATTTAGGAACATTCAGTTCTGGATCTGCGGTGTCTGTGCTGGCCAGAACAGACTTGCAGGGCTGGGATATGGGTAGCAATGAAAGCCCAGCTCCAGGGATAGGAAGTCATCACTGGTACCCTCTCTTTCATGCCACAATTTCTCCTCCACTCACAGGCGAGTATATATTCATGCAGCAGCCCCTCCCTGTGGACTAGGCAGTGTGAGCATTGACCTTATCCACATGCTTCTAAATTCGGTGTATGCTCCACACTACCTGTTTGTGGTTCTTGGTCTAGGGAAATGAATTTATTCTAAACATAATTAAGGAAACTAGAAAAAAGTGAATGCAGGTCCTGTGTATCACTACAAACATTTGGCAGTTATACAGATGACAAAGAGCAAATTCAAAACACCACACTCAAGGGAACACCTGCAAATGTGTATGTAAAAAAATTTTTTTTAATGGCAAGGTTGTGATTTTGCCTACGGAGTCCTGCATTCTGCCGTCTTGTGCTAACTTCTAAGCAGGGCTAGTTTGCTGGAACGCTGACGAATCCAAAGACCCACAGGACTGTCTGGGAGTTGTGCTGTAACAAAAAGAGCCCACTTAGAAGTGCCCCTGCACCACCTGATGCCGAAGGTGGCAGATATAGATTTGCAGAGTGAGCGAAGATTTTATGCAATAATAAAACTCCAAATGAGAGCTGGCAAAGAGTTTAGCCATCTTCTAGACCGCACTTCTAGCCAGAACAAAACCTATTCTGAAGAGGCGTGGGTGAATATCCAGTGAGGGAGCGTGGCCCATTCTATTAACAAGGAGCGTTCACTGTCCACCAGTGAACAACTCAGATTCCTTAGAAAAAGCTTTCTGTTGAGTAAAATCTGGTTCTCACAATTTGGACTTGAATTCTTTAATTCCAGATCTAAGATTCTGCAAAGCTTTGAGCTGTCGCCTGGCAAACCTCTAGAGACAGTTGTTAAACTTCAGAAAGATGTAGAGATTTTAGACATTCAGGAGACAAGGATGGAAAAGCAAATCTCAACTGCACAAAATCCTCCCTTCCCTCTGCTACCCCTAGGACCACTTAACCATGGCTGGAGGAAAAGGCGACCAAGCATCATTTTCTCCCCAGCCAGTTTCCACCCACGTCGTGTGAGATACTCTGAAGTCACTGTACAAAATGCATTTAAACACAACATTTGTGTAGCTTCATCTGGCTCGGTGTGCATATCTAACTTGGGGTCTAAGCAGCCCGCAAAATGCTGAAATAGTTCTCCATGGAAAATTAGTCCCCTAAAGGTAATGTTCTCCTAGGAGCAATGTGGTTCTAATGTAAATAAAAATCTGAACTGTGAAACACAGAAACAATGTCAGGATGGCCTTATTATGATTACACTGGCCAAACCTTAGTCCAGTGCATGGGAAAAAGGTGAGCACACGTGCTTGTGCTGTAAGCCCATGCTATCGCTAGTAACTGTGTGAGGAGGGCTTTGGAGGGTTTGCTCAGCCCAGCTGTGAGGGAAGTCTGCTGTCCGGTTCTCATGGCTCTGGTGTCCTCCTGTGGGCCACATTCCATGACCAGCAGCATGCAGCATTTCTCTGAAGGGACCAGCCCTGGAGGATGCCCGTCTATAAAACCCCGTAAATGTTCAGGACTGAAGTTTTACATGCTGGGCCGAACTAAGTCTCTCTCAAAGTCCTCTCAAACCTTCTCTCCACATGGTTCCTTCCAGCACTATCTCACGCTCAGTGTGGTTCCTGAGCCCAGGAAACAGCACTGCTATAAAGATGTCAAAAAGCATTGGACATGCCTCATTAATGAGGATGAATGAGGTGTTGATGAGACAAAAAGGAAACAGGTCTGTGTGGGCATGAAAGAGATGAACAGGCAGGAAGAGTGAGAAATGCACCAAGACTCCTGCATTTGGAAAATGAATGGACCAGGCCCTTGCATTTTAGCAAGGTGACAAGTATCTAGCAGGCAGGGGTGGCTTTCATTATTTTGACCCATAGGCTGTTTTGTTCATGTGAAGGTTGAAAGAAATCCTCTACCCAGTCCTTGAAAATATCAAGAGGTCTTATTTGCTGAAGGAGCCTCAATTGGTAAAAATGGGAATAAAAAAAGATTTCAGAAGACTCAGATTTTGGGGAAAAAAAAGGCAAATTATAGAAAGGCTCCCTGCTTTGGCTGGTAGGTGGACTATAGGACTTCTAAGTCACCAACATCAATCAGACACTTGGCTATTTCAGGGTATTTTTCATTTGCCAAAACACTGGTAATTACCGCTATCTTATTACCTAGAGAATGCTAAGTGCTTCACTCATTAAATGTCACTTAACCTCCCTGTGCTGGCTGCTGTCATTCCATAGTGTGGGCAAGGAGCCTGTATGAGGTATGCAAAATGCATCATCAGGCACAAGAATGCAGACTTTTGTGACTCTGTCACCTCAGTAAGCAGTTAGTGAGTGTCTACAATGTGTCAGGCACTGTGCTTTTTCAAAATCATATTATGTCCAATAAAAGATAAGAGCCTGCTTACAAGTGTGAAGAAAATCCCCAGGAATTAAACAATGAGTCAATCTCTTGAAGATTACTATTTTTCCTTACTGGCAAAGCAACTTCATCTACCTTGCCTATAGCTGCAAATCAGTTGTACAGAAACTAATTTCACTTGCAAGCATGTGTCAATAGTTGATTGTGGTGCAAAGTGATGCACACCTTGACATTGTTCATCTGCCCAGCAGAGCATGAATGCTAGCTACAGTCCTCACTAACTCCCTAGACACAAGTGGCTTTTGGTGATATCATACGTTGTATCAACAGAAACCTCTCCTCCCTGGAGATCTAGGGATGCTGTCTCTGTCATCAGGTGTTCAAAAGAATGACTTCTTTGACAGCTTATGGATAGTAATCTAAAACTAGGCAAAGTAAAACTCCTTCCTGTTCCATGCATGCTCTTAATGAAATATTCGGTCATTGCATGTCAAGATGTCGTTGTCTTGTCTTGATGCTGGCACATCTCATACTGAAAACTGGACTGGATCAACAATGTGATCGTAAGAAACCAGCCTTCTCCATCTCAAGAATGCTTCTGACTCTCCTTCTGCCTTCTTGTCTCGAGAGTAGCATGGAGAGGCCTCTCCCCCTCTCTGGTGGCTGACATCACTTCCTGAACACGCTTTGGCTGGCTTTCCTGTGAATGTCTTGGGTTATACTGATAAAACTCAGCAACTTCTTTTCTCACAGGAAAGCAACGTGCTTGGCATAGACATTCCCGTAGCTCAAAGTGCTGCAGACACAGGGGAGGTGAGGCAGTGGGGCTCACACCCGAGGCTCGATCCTGTGTGAGAGCTCGAACAGGGCCTGCTGGCTGTCAATGACATATAGGTGATTAACATAGGACTTTAACTCTTGATGCTCTTTTGGACACAGGTCACCTGTTGTTTAGAGGGGGGAAAAAAAAGACAATCTCAGGAGAGCAGTAATGCTATATCTACATACCAACAAAACCCTACACTAAGGCTGAGTAAATGTACCAGGTGGGTTCTCATTAGTCCGACTCCCATAAGAGGTGTCCTTGTCCTAAGGTAGAAATGCTTTTTCAGCTCAGAATGGATTCCTCAGGTCAGGCAATCAGACCGGCAGGCTATTTATAGCATTTATTACCTAACATTGTATGTTATTTAGAAATTATGTTCTTATCTTACTCCACAGATGGGGAAACTGAGCACAGTCACGCAGCAAGTAAGTGTCACAGCCAGGATTCGGACCCAGGCCATATGGTTCCTCAGTCCTTCTATGTAGCCTTTTACAGCAGTTACCTGTTTAAACGGCCAGCACTGGCTCCTATATCTCAGCCTAGAAGCATTGAAAAGCGCTGATAATGTGTTTAGCATATGAATGCAATCACTCTTTTTTTGTTGTTTAGATTTTGTACAATTCTTTGGTATTCTCATTTTTTGGAAAAAAAAATTAATGGAGCAATTGAATGAACAGATACAACAAAACAGGCTCTAAGATGTGGTTAACAGATGAAATTGCTTCAGAAATTATGCATATGGACTAAAGTCTACCCAGAGAAGGACAAGACAAGGGGCTTTTCCACTCACATATCTAGGGCAGTCAAGGAATCGAGGGGCCAAAGGAGGCTTTAGTGCACTGTGGACACATCCACGCCCTGCTAGCGCCCGTGCTGATAAGGAACCAGGATGAAGCAGCATGAACCACGGGGCAAGCCCATGCACCATAGTCAAACACACACAACCGCAAGCAAACCATTCGAGGCTGGGGAACACTGGTCAAACTGCACTACAGTAAGACAATGGAAAGGTGAGTGATGAAGACATCATATCCTGTTGCTTTGTAGATTATGCATGGGACAAGCAGGGTGAGCTGCTGGAGCTCAGCTTGAGCAGAGGGAAGGGAAATGCAGGAGGCTGAGCATTTTCTTATAGCATTTTTTTCTCTTGTGAAACCCCCTTTTTTCTCCTCTATAACAAATGCATTTTATGAGGAAATAATTTAAGACCTGTATGACGTGGGTGGCTTGTAATTCTTAGGTTTAATACAAACAGGCTTCCTAGTTTCAGCAAGTAAACACACTAGGAGTTAAAGTTTATACCATTTCACCTGTTTGAAAGTAACAAAAAGCTGTTTTATTCCAGAATGCCTTCTCTGGAAGACGTTGAGAAAGCGCTTTTCATTTATTAAACATTGGTTTGGATAACATGATGCTACAAAGGTAATTTTATTGTTAATTTTCAAGCCTTAAAAAGATGGCACAATGGATGGTTCTAACCATAGCAACTGACATTTGCATGATACTTTATAATGCATAAGTGACTTGATTAACATTTTCATATTTTATCCCAAATGCTCACATGGGTTTACTATGCTCATATACACTGTTAAAATGAATTTGGATAATTCGGTTCCCAAACTGATTTTTAAAGATACCGTATATAAATATTAGAACACAAACTGGCTTGATAGTTATTTAAATTTCTCCTTTGCTTAGTGCCACACAGAGGGTTATTCTCTGATGACTGGGAGGTTCAAGGCAGGTTCAAGGCCACACAAGCTAGTATAACTATCACCTTCCTGTCTATACTTGGAGCATATATAAACTAGAGTTCTTTGGTTAAGTGAGACTGATATCTTAGAATTAGTTGAATCCCCAGTAAACACGTGGGAAGCAAAGGAGGATAAAAGCAATATGAAGCTATACTCATCAGCATTATGCTTGTACATTTCAGTGAATCTCTGTGATGATGTTATGATCACTATTTTTATTGTAACTGCATTGTACTTGTATGCTTAATGAAGAATTATATAGGTACATTAAAGTGGTACTAATTGATGTGAATATTTAGAAAATTAGGTCCTGTATTTATAAGTCTCCTTTTCAAAGAGAAAACATAATCCACACAGAAGTCCAGTTCTTAACTTACTTTGTTGGGAGACAATATTGCCAGCCTAGACCAGCACTGAACAGAAAAAATTCTTAAGCACATGTACCCAATTGTTATTAGTACTTTTCTTGAGAAGTAGGACTCTGATTTTCTACTTTATATATACTTCTATATTGTTGAAAAAATTGTTTTACAATGGGCATGTCTTACTTAAAAAATGAAGTTGAACTGAGTGGTTGCCTTTGATTAATTTATAATTGTTGAAATCAATTTTCTATTTTGTATTACCCTTTGTATCCATAGGATCTGCAGAGGGCAGAGGAAAGGACAAGGAGGTAAGGCAGACTCAATCTGAATAATGGCTAAATAAGTGAATCTCTCTGAGTCTCTGCTTTTTGCTCTACACCTACAGGGTTAATAATCCCCATTTACTAGGACGGATGTCAGGATTCCATTGCCCATGTGAAAGCTCCTGCAACTCAATAAAGTTGATTTCCTTCCTTCCTGCAATGTTCTAACACCATTTAAACATAGCATAAATTATGACTGAGATTTAAAATGGAACAAATATTCCTACATACATTAGTCTCAGTGGGGATTCTACAGAAGTGCTCAGAACCACACTTTTGCAGCTGAAAGGCAGCTCCAGACAGGAAGTTTTCGTTGGAGAGGAGAAAAGATTCTGAAAGAATGCTTTAGGCACTTTTACAAGCTATCGTCCTATTCCAGGAAGACTCCACGCAAAGAGGTTAGGGACAAGGTCACCCCTGCTCAACTCACCAGTGATTTTTGAGCCAGTAGGCAAGCAAAGCAAGACACTGTGGGTACAGGAGTCAGCGGGAATTGCTGGGAGGTGGTTTCTGAGTGCATAAAGTCACTCTTCGCAGCATAAACTTGCTGCCATTAGGGGATAATAATCTGTCACATCTTGTCTTCCTCTGCATCCCAAACATGCAGTGAGGAAACAAAGAGACAATCTACTATATATATACAATATGCATATGTATACACATATGCTAGTTTTCAATTTGTTTAAATTGATTACCACCCAATACTTGTGACCACAGTTGATACCAATGTAGAGTCAATTTACATTCTGCACCTGACTTCAATGACTCACCAAACTGGTTAGTCCTGCAGTGTCTCAGGGTTCGGACAGTGTCTGCGATCATATGCTGTAAGGTAGAACAGGAAACACATCAATAGAAGGGTCGCTGAGGGTGTTACTGAAGAAGCAGTGCCTGCTACTAGGATGGAAGGATGATCTAGCACTCTTGGCTGTAAACAGAAGAACTGTATTTGGAGCTGGACATAGCTTTGATTCTACTGAGCTTGGATTATCAAAAAATATTTAGTCCTTGTCTGCAAAAACAGTAGCACCAGACCGGATGAGGTGGCTCACACCTGTAATCCCAGCACATTGGGAGGTGGGCGGATCACGAAGTCAGGAGTTCGAGACCAGCCTGGCCAACATGGCGAAAACCCATCTCTACTAAAAATACAAAAAAATTAGCCGGGGGTGGTAGCAGGTGCTTGTAATCCCAGCTACTCAGGAGGCTGAGACAGGAGAATCACTTGAACCTGGGAGACAGAGGTGCAGTGAGCCGAGATCACACCACTACACTCCAGCCTGGGTGACAGAGTGAGACTCCATCTCAAAAACAAACAAACAAAAAACAGTAGCACCCAATCCGGGTTGCACAGGTTCTTACTGAGCCATGAGAAAATACACTGTAGAGAAGTGCAGCCACCCCCGTGCCCACACCCCACCCCGGCCCCAATCATCCTGTTCACATTTGCGCATGTTGTTTCACTTCAGGGTATGTGTCACCTCCTCTCCAAGAAGGCTTTCTGAGATGTCCCTCCTGGACTTAGAGGCTCCAATCTCAACATTTCCACTGCTCTTTGTACAGCACCTACTGGCTTTGTGTCATTGTCATTGCTGTTGAACTTTTCTCCTCCTCTAGACCAGGTACCACCAGAGGGCTCTGCATGTGCAGAGCCTACTATATCAGACACATTGACTTACACATATGTGCTGAATGGAGGTAGGAATTTTTGTAGATTCAAAGGTTCGAGTATCTTAAATTGTAACTGGAAATGAGATACTTACAAAAGATGAACATTTCCTAAAACATTAACATCTCTTTTTTTTTGAGATGGAGTCTTGCTCTGTCACCCAGGCTGGAGTGCAGTGGTGTGATCTCAGCTCACTGCAACCTCTGCCTCACAGGTTCAAGCAATTCTCCTGCCTCAGCCTCCTGAGTAGCTGGGATTACTGGCATATGCCATCACGCCCGGCTAATATTGGCTAATTTTTGTATTTTTAGTAGAGACGGGGTTTCACCATGTTGGCTAGGCTGGTCTTGAACTCCTGACCTCAGGTAATCCACTCAAATTGGGCTCCCAAAATGCTGAGATTATAGGTGTGAGCCACTGCGGCCGGCCGACATCAACATCTTTAGAGACCATTTTCTGTTCGTAGTTTATAGTCATGTACAGTCTTCAATATTCTAATTTAATTTGTTTCCTTGAAGTCCTCACTGATTTCCAGGCAAAAGTCTTTTTTTTTTTGAGATGGAGTCTCACTCTGTCACCCAGGCTGAAGTGCAATGACACGATCTTGGCTCACTGCACCCTCTACCTCCCAGGTTCAAGGGATTCTCCTGCCTCAGCCTCCTGAGTAGCTGGGATTACAGAGACACGCCACCACAGCCAGCTAATGTGTATATTTTTAGTAGAGACGGGGTTTCACCATGTTGGTCAGGTTGGTCTTGAACTCCTGACCTCAGGATCCGCCCACCTCAGCCTCCCAAAATGTTGGGATTACAGGCATGAGCCACCCTACTTGGCGGGCAAAAGTCTTCTTAAATGTACGGCTGCTTTGGACAAGATCTCATCATCTTATACTTGTGTACCTGCAAGAGTCTTCTAGCTGTCTCTACCACTTTTAGTTTTTCATGTTGAAGGAAGTGGCATTTTGGAAGCATATACATATATGCTATAGGAAGAACTAGAGTGCAGGATGGTCTCTTCCAAAATGCTATGTTAGCTGGCTTAATTACCAGAATAATCTCTAAATACTATTGTCATCATGTTCTAGTTCTCCTGAGAATCAACAGTAGCTCTCCACTTTGTTTCGTATCACAATACAAACATCATCCTATTATTCAAGAATTCATATCATTTTCTGGTCCTCCAATGTGCGTCAACATCTTTCATGTCCCAACTATACACACTGAGCACAGGATCACCATATACAGCAAATCCTCAATGAATTATTTCTGAAAGAATATTCAACACTAACAAATGTTCTTAAAATTCAGAAGAACTACAGAAACATTATTTGAATATGACCTACTGATTGAATTGTTGTCATAACCATATTTCTAATGCACTTCTATTCAATAGTGGAAAATTGAATAGGACAGTGATTATTGCAGTAGCTCAAACTGCATTTGTAAAGGAAATGAGACCTGACTCATGTCTGTGCATGTATTGTTCGGTTTCCTTCCCCAGATTTTACCACTTTTCCCAGGTCAGTTTTCTCATTTTAAGCTCTGGCGTCACATTGATTTGTATCATATGCCATTTGCATAGCTTGTGCAGGCTCAAACTGATGTAAGGCTCGGTACTGGGTGTGGCACTGAAATCTGAGTTCTGGTCTTCATCTTTAGGCTTTCTAAAGGGGGAAGGGGTAGACAGGGTAAAAGATGATGCCCTTAACATCGACGGATAAAGAGAAGAAAAGAAACCATTTGCTGCTTCTTATGAAACAGTTTGAGATGAAAACATTTCCAGTTGCTGAGGCAGCAAGGAATGTAGCATAAAGAACAGAAATCTCATTAGACCTGATGAGGGCTCCTGGATTTTCATGGGGTCTGACTCAATGTGTTGGACTGCATCAGCCAGATAAAGATAATACACTGAATTATCTGTTAACTGGCTTAAGTTAATATCCATCATGAGGAATTGACTTCTCACAAGTTAATTCACTTAGGTTCTATTGGTTCATTATTGTGAAAGATGATCCTGTTTTAGCTTTAGAGAAACCCAGTCCTTTGCTAAGAAATATTCCTTGAAAATAGTGTTTCTCCTAGAAAGGTCAGTCTCATTCTCCAGCATCCAAGTGTAACACAGGGCTATATACGACAAAACTCCTTTTTGTTCTGGACACAGTTTTATCCAGTCTACTCTGTGTAAGGAGGGGTCAGCATGAGGCGTGCTGTGGACCAGGAGCTCACTGGTCCCGTGGGCGGAGCCTGCCCTCTAAGGAAATGACGACCCCATGCCTGCCTGACAGGCTTGCATATGCGCTATGTGCCTGTTGTGTGCATGCTGAACTGCACCCATTTCTTCACTGTTTTATAAAATAAAATTTCTCTTTAGGAATTTAAAATATTATTTATGCCATGCTATTCCCTTAAACTTTCTCAAAGAATTAAGGGTATGATGATTGACCCTAATAGAAGTCATATCATTTAGACCTCCTTTGTTTCCAGCTCTATGCTTAGTTGGCAGTCTTGGCATATTTGAGAGCTGGCATTAAGAGGCTTCTGCTGGATTACTGGAGACAGCAGGGGAAGGCTACAGACGCTGGTTAGAAGGAAGGTGGGAACAAGCTTTCCACAGCTTGTTCCCATTTGTGACTTTACGGACTTGTTCAGGGTTTTTTTTATCATCTTGTCACTTTGGTGGCATTATCTGAGGGGGAAATGACATAATGAACTTAACAAATTCACTGGTTCACTTTAAGGAGGTCAACCTCACGTCTGCCCTCAACAACAGGCAACAGCCAGCTGATAGAGTTCAGTTGTTCTCCCACGGCCCCTTGGACTAGTCAGGGGAAAGGATTGCTCGGCCTTTCCAGGGAATTCCACTTGGTGTGACACACCTCATCCCACATCTTCACAGATGCTCCACAAAGCTCATGTGTTGTTCTCGGGGAGATGTGCTGGCCAGGAAGCGAAGTAAATACTGACCAAAGGCTTCATATTCCCGCAATTGTTTCATTAATCCCAAATGCCAGGGATTAACCTGCTTAGAGGCAAGAATTCTAGTGCCTGCAGCCTTTCATTGTTAGTAAGTGCCCTGTGATCTTCAGAATATCACACAGCAACACAAAACACGTACAAAAAAAATAACACTTTATCCATTTCTGCCTCTGTTGGTTTGACTGTAGCATCTAAAATAACTGAGCTCTGATTCCAGAACACTTACTGCAGAGACAGACTTGAAAGTGTATTGACATATCCACTTAGAAAAGCACTAGCCATCCAGTGATTGTCTTCAGTGTGGTTAAAATGGAGATAAAGCAAGATATTCCAAGACTGTATTCTATATTCCAGATGCTTGGGTTTTGGGGGTTGTATAAGAGCCGACTACACTGTTTCCAAGCTGCCTCACCCTACATGTGGGGAGTTGGCTGGGTGAGCAGAGCAATGTAGTTCTGAGGCAAAGGTCAGGTGCCAAGCCTCAGCGGGACTCATCAGTCCCTACTGTTCTTTGATCATAGTCTGTGGTCCCTGCCTCACTTAACCTCCTCTCAAGTGCTGACTCAGTCTCACAGGGAACCAGGGTCAGTTTCTGCAAGAGTTCACACAAATCCATCACCATTACTGAAAAGGTCACTCAAAGGTCAGGATCTGTGGAGCAGTGTTACTAGTATCGTCTTTAACCATGAAGGACAGTTTATGACACTAAAGTTCATCTGTCAGATAAATCCATTCCTCTGGCAGTCAATGGGTCTCTTTGGAGTACTTCTATTTTACAGTTGCTCAGTTCTAATGGGTAACCCCTCCTTTGCTCAAGGGCAAGTCAGAAAGGCTTGGAGGAGCCCACCGTATTACAAAACACCTGGGAATGTCCTGGAAATCATTCAGGAAGCGGTGTTTCAGAAACATTTAGAGAGGATTGCCCTGGGAACCTCTTGCTGGAGGAGGGAGGGTACTTTGCTTGAGCTGCTCTGGTCATGGTGCTCAGGGGTGGTACCCTTTGTCAATAGGCTGATAGAGGGGTGGTCCTTCCCTTCACACAAGACCCTGCAAATTCCAGCCTCACATTTAAGCTTGGAGTCCTGAGAGACAAACATATATCCCCAGGAGAGGAACTTTCTCCCTCTGTGCCTTGAAAACATGCAGGCTGAGACACTGAGAGATGCCTGTAAAGCAATAAAACGTAATCTCCTGAGTGTGGATTCCTCCTGACAACAGCCTTACAGTTTTAGCTCTGGTTTGATCATAGACCCTCAATTCTTCATCTTATGATATTCCATTTTTAAAAACAAAAAGCAGATTTTCATATTTCATATTTCAATATTTCATATTGCTAACATACTTGTTAATTGGAATACATTTTGTTGGCAGTGTACAACATGCAGCAAATAAGCTCCTTGAATTCGCCAGGCATCCAACGGAGAAAAGTACTACAACTATTTGTTTCCTAGAGCAGGAAAGAAAAGCATACATTTCTGTTACTGTAAAAAAGGGAGAAGTAATGAAATTTACATACCAGCTTTTCAAAATTGACAAGATTATCCAAAAACGTTTTATTTCCTTCATGAATAAATGTTACATCTGAAAATTAAAAACAAAAAGATGTATGTATCATTAGGAATGGATCATGAGTCAGGGCTGAAGAGGTCTAGGTACAATACAACTTATTCATTTTTCTTAAACATTAGGGATCATTCCATGCACTTGGAGAGGCAATTTGAAATTGGATTTGTGTGTTATTTGATGTAAAAGTGCATAATTTATGTGTGTGTGTATATGTGTGTATGGAAAAACAGTGTAATCTTACTGAAAGTATATATTTTACACTCATAATGAAGTGTTTGACTTCAATCTGCTTAATATAAACTAAAGCTAGTCTATAACTTAATTATTCCATTATGTGTTTAGGTCAGAAGACTGAGCAGAAAAGCACTGAATACCCAGAAACAACAGGATTTTAGTAATTATGTGTTTGCTTTTTACAAATCCCTGGCAAAGTGTATGGGACCTGCTTTACTTAAAACAACTAGTTAAGATTTAGATTTAGATGTTTAAATTTAAATTTCTGGTTCCCAAAGTTGATGTCTGATTGTGTACCAGGAGTAAGTGAGGAAAGAGGCAGGCTTGAAAATGTCAAGATATCTAGCCCCATTCGACTAGTAGAAAGCAAGCATCACTGACGGAAATAAAAGGAGGAAAGTACAATGAAAGTGCATTTTCAGAGGAAGAGAAAGTTAAATTTGATTTGAGGCTCACTGCATTTAAAATGACTGAGGATATTTATTAAATATCTCCTGTTGGCTGCAGTAAACTAAAGAGTGATTCCTCGAGACATATAGATTTGGAAATCAGTTACATTAAATAAAGGTAGCAACTGAAGCTCTGAGAGTGGATGACTTAGCCACAATCAAATCAGAGGGTGGATGACTGAGCATCAGCAAATCCTCACAGACAAATATCACAAAAAGAAATATACTATAATTTAAAGCATGTGCAAATAATCATGTTATATTTCAGACATCAAGAACCAACCAAATAAAAACAGCCTTCAAAAATCTTGTAAAAATAACCTGATAGAAAAGAGGGGAAAAGAATGTCTTAAAATCTCCTATAAATAGAAAAAGAATGTATTTGCTTTTAATCAAGACTTTTATTCTGCTGGTCCCTAAGGGGTAATTATGAGATAGGTACTCCTAAAACCTGCTACCAAAATACTGGGCCACAAAGCTTTTACTGTCACCAGGAGGTGACACTAGTTACACAGTTACAGCACACATGGATGCAACCCTTTCCTCAAGGTGTTATACACAGCTTCCGATGTGGACGGCAATTTTTTCATAAGCTTCTTTTCCTTTTTTTTTTTTTTTTTTTTGCTTGTAAACTGATGTCCTAGTAGGAAAACGGTTGACAACTCATTACACAGTCTCCTGACAAACTCTCTGGTTATTTTATTATCTTTTGAAATTTTGCTTTCAGAGAATAATTACAAGCTTTCATTCTGTGACACAGTATTTAGAAAAGAGAAGTCAACACAGGTTTTCCCTTTTCTGTGTAGCAAATGCAAACCTGGGCACGCTCTGTCTACATTAAACACCACCTGAAGGCCTGACCTCTACTAACTCTCCAAGAATTCCAGATTCCAAACACCGTCTCAGAGTGGCTTAGTCCATTTTCCCTGCATTACAGGTTTATCCCTCACCTGCCCCTCACCCTTCTTCCTAGGGATGATGAGGAGGGCAGTGGCAATAATGACATCTTACATTTATTAACAGTGTTAGACATGGCTCTAAAGAGCTTTAGCTGCATTAACGCATAAGGTAAGTTCTAGGAGGTAAGCCTGTGAAGAAACTAACGCCCCAAGGACATCTATGGCCAACCCATGCTCACAGCAACAAGTGTCAGAGCCAGGATTCAAACAAAGGGAGGCTGGCTCCCCCTCACCACTGTGCCTCTCCAGGCACCTCAAGTGGAAAGGACTTGGCTTTTCTTGCTATCAGGTGCAGTCAACCTGCTCAATTTACAACATATCAGCTGCCCCTGCAACAGTGAAAGTGCTTCCCTCCTCACTCCCTCCAGGCAGTCCCTCCTGCCTTCAATCTCTCCTCTTTCTGGGTAGTCCCTCTCCCTCTTAGCTCTCAGTAGAGTGTGTGCAGGCTCTGTTGAGGGGCCAGGGCCTGTCAGGCTGGTACTGTCTAAGCATAAGGCAGGGAAGGTGCCAAGGGTGCTGACCAGGTGAGAGGGGAGAGAGGCTGGAAGGGGTTGCAGCCTGGGAGAAAGGGAAGAGTTAAACTGACTACAGGTTTCGATGCAGTTGAATGGCAGGTGCATGACACGGAAGGTAAGAGAGAGAAACAAATGAGAGGTTGGGCTGAAAAAACCTAGGATGTCAGAATTTAAGTCATGGGACAAGAAGCAGTTTTGGGGTATGAGAAATTAGCAACTGCCAGGCCTCTTTCACCTGGAGACACCTGAACACACCCCAAACATCTGAACTAGAACTGCTCCATGAAATGACTTTGAAGAGATGGCAAGTGGAAGAGGAGGAAGAAACATTCAGGAGTCCCAACATTCCTTTCCTTCAGAGACCCGCACAAATCTGCAACAATAAACTCCACTCTAAGACACATACACGAAACCCACCACAGGGACCCCAGTTTATCCTCAAACAACGAGATGATTCACTCCATCTCCAAAAATAGCACATGATATACGATTCCTTAGATCCTTAGCTCAGCTGGATCTTCTCCCCAGCACTTAGTGCTTCCCATTCGTCCCTTTCTGACCAAGAGTCCACACCACGGTAAGGGGAAAGTACATCAAAAGGCAAGACATTCAAATAAGAGAGAGGAAGACTGAGGGCTAGAAGGATTCTCAGGTAATCCACTTACTTCATAATCTGCAGGCTTATTGGGAACTGAGTTTCAAAAAATGCAGCATAGGGGACCTAATCCTTCCTAAACACCAAGGAGTTCAATTTGGTCCCATTTTTCTAATTAAAAGCTACTCAAAGTAGGAAGCACAAGAGAGGAGGGGAAAAAGAGCTTTCACTAAAAACTAAGTTGGTTGTTCTAAAATAGTTCACTGCAACTTTAAATTATATGATTAAAAAAGCTTAAGAATTAATGTTGTATATTTTTGCCAAATGTCTCATCTTAGGCATAATATACATTTTTTATATTTTCATCACATTTTCTTTGGACATTATTTCAGACAAAAACAGTAACTTTAAATACCATGAAGTACTAATACTACACGTTTTTATAATAATGAAAAATTAGAGAAAGGAAAACTAAGTGCTTATTGAAATTCAAGGAAGCTTCTAATAAGAAAATAACAAATGTTTATTTCTTATTCTTTTGAAATGAGTAAATGTGTTTTCAGTAGAAAAAGGGAAATTTGTCTGGCTGCCAACAGAGGTCTCGATAAACTCAGCAGAGCAGAAAATTGCATCCAAGCTAAAATGTAAGTGTGAGACACTTGACTGCATTAAATATTTTGGGGGAAAACCACTAATACATGGCAGAAGGCTCTGTTCATATCTAATGAAGTTAAAGAAATATTGTCAACTAATTTCTCATTACCTTAAAAGTATGTATTGTTTCAAAATTTTTTCTTCCTACAATCAGTTCCTTTCCTACATCTGTCCTACTTTCTATTGTCTTTATTTGTGTCTAAATGACCCTAAGTGTTACTTCCCACCTGCCCCCTCCCACCCTCTAATTGAAGGTGTTTTATTCCACAAATAAGAAGCACAGACCTGAATACACTTCTCTTAAAAGAAAATAAATATGAAGAGTCAAATAAACTTTTAAATTATTATTTGGGCACCGCAGTGTCTCTTTCACGCATTTGTATTTAACAGAATCTTTTCAGCTGGATGAAGCATCTGTGCATATCTATCTCCATTGTCCTAATATTATATTCTTGTTTCATAGAGATTCTTGCTTCATATTCGATGAAAGAAGACTCAGTGAGTAGCTACAGGATGTACAGCAGCTCACAATAATTTTCCAAGCTCTGGCTGTTCTTGAGAGAAACTGAAGAGGAAATGTCAGCTTTACAGGGTAGGCGAAGGGCATAGGGGGTGGTGGCAATGGGAGGAAGTGGAGAATGAGGATGGCCAGGCCAACCAGCAGTCCAGTTCCCAAATAGCTCATTTCCAGAATCACGTGTATGGGTCCAGCCATCGGGGCCTAGCTCAGCGTAAGTTACAAGCCTCTGAAGAGGCTGGAAGAAAGAGTATTCCTACAAAACCTCTCGAAGGAACCAAAATATGGCCACGGATAATGCCCAAACCCTTTCCCTGGCAAGTATACAGGTAAAGACTTACACTGAATGTCAGGGATATACACCGGATTAAAAAGAGTTTCCTTTTATTAATCCCCTCAGTTTCAAAGCAAGATCACTGAGATCTCATCGATAAATTTAACATGTTTCATGACGAATTATTTGGTGCTTAGTGGAGCGTGGTCAGTGGAGTAACTTGCAGCTATCAAAACCTTTCCCAACTCAATTCCACTGCTGAAAAAAGGAAGTACGCTTCTCCATCAACACTTTTCAAATGCTATATTGCTTGTATTGACCAAAGGTACTTCTCCTACAACAGCAAATTGTGGGCTGCGTCTCTTAAGTTTAGGTTGCAAAAATAGAATATGATTGATTACCATTTGGGTTCTTTATGCCAGCCTTATTCTTGGTTGAATTCAGTGGATAGTTAGCTCAAAGAAAATAATACAGGGCTTAGAAGTAGAGTAAAAGAAAAACACAAACGTTTCCAGTGCCAAGTTTTGTGAGTCAAGTGAAAACGCTTTGGTGTTTGCTCAAACACAGTTATGTATTCTAGGTATCTCAAAGATAACCAGCTATTTTAAAAACAATCACAAGGAAACATAATTAGGTCTGAAAGTCAAAATAACTGTAAAGAGACAAACTGAGAGTCCCTTTTTTGCCCTCAATAGTTAGAGTAATACATTTCTAGAAGATGAAATTACATGGCATAAAAGATAGAAAATCATTACCTTTAAGCAATAAGGGCATGAAAGGGATTTTTGGTGGCTTCATCTTTTTGAATGCATCTCTGTAGGCTTTGTGATTTAGGGAAGGATCCTGCCGAACCAAGCAGATTACAAAGAGAAAGAAAAATCAATGTGCTATAGAAACAATTCTAAATCCACTTTTGCTATACAATTTGAACATGACTTAGATATAGAGAGATTCCTCCTAAGAACAAAGTAGATAAAGGTTTCCTAGGAGAATAAACTCACTAAATTAGGGCTGGAAATCTAGGCAATGAATGAAACTCAAGTTATTGGTTTACAATAAAGGGAAATGACCACAAATGAGAGACATCTTTTGATTGCCCTATTATTTTCCTCAAAGAGCTCCTTTAAGTACAGTTTCCTCTGCATAATATATGTCATGAGTTAACCCAAAGTCTCCTGTTAGATACGGTACCAAGAAAATCTGTCATTGTAACACACAGACAATGCAGAGAAAACAAGAGAATACTGTTTTATTGTACTCTAAAAAGAAACTATAATTTAAAAAAATCTCAATCTGAGAAATTGTAAAAAGGAGAAAAGGGAAAAAGAATAATGCATGAGACACTAATTGCATGCTAAATTAGTTATACTGATTAATTTTGCAGGCTTTGAAATGGACTATACTTAAAAGCCTGCCTTCTGAAAAATAACACTAAAAAGACTATTTTCACTACCTTTTTAGAAGGAGAGGAAGAAGCATTAACAGTCAACTTGCTTCCCTCCATAAGAAGCAAAACTAGTTTCATATACAAGTAAACTAGTCTAGGTAGGCTACCTGACACGGTAGAGTACAAATACCAACCACTGTAATGTAGAAAGAAACTAGACCCTAGCGATTATTTTGAAGAATAAGTCCCCTTTGGCTCAACTACTTACTGTTAAACTTTCAAGTTCAGAGAAAAGTTTCTTAAACTTCCCAGGGATTTTCTAAAAAACAAACACAAACAAAAAACAGAAGGTCACAGAAGATGGTTATTTTCAGAGGCGTCGAAGGGAGTTTTCATTACGTTATTTGTGCCACACTTCTGAACATAAATACCTCTATCATCTGTTCTACCCTGATTGCTTCTCATTATACAATTTTCATCATCCCTTAATGTGATCTTCCTTAGGAATGCTGCTTAAAACAGCTTAAAATAACAGCCACATGATTCAGGAATCTAGTTGGTTAGACATTCCACATACTGGTGGTCCATTTAATAAAAACTTAGATTTCAGTTCCATACCCTACCTTTGACAAATGCCCTCGTCTTCTTAATAGTCTTCCTGAGTGGGAAATAATTATGTTGGCTGACATTCTTAGCATAAATGATGTAATTTTATTTCACAGCATTGGGCTAAATAGCGAAGGGCCAGGAAGACCTTAAGTGACGAAGCCTGCACTTTAATGAGTGGAATCACTGAACTGAGGAGCTCAACCATAACACGTACCATGCAAAGTGACAGGGGATAGAAGCATAGGCCATCCTCCCAAATAAAAATTCAGGCCTAAGGAAGAAGGGCCTGGAATGTTCCAGCCTGCCTTTAACATGGCTAAGTAAAAAATTGGGTGCCTTTCAATATTGACTTAGTAATATTTGTGGTAAACAGCACACATTTAAAGGCAGCCTGAGTTTGAACTCTGACTCTGCCCTTTCTAGCTATGTGGTTTGGTGTGAGTCAGCAAGCTCTGGGATCTGTTTCTTCAGCTGAAGATGTAGGGACCACTCATGAAAAGTACACGGTCCTTGGCTGGTGCTTAACAAATGCCAGCTATTAACACTAACAACAAAGCTTAAGAAGGTATTTCTGGGATTTTCAGTTTCTTTTTTGTTTGTTTGTTTTTTGAGGCGGAGTCTCGCTCTGTCGCCCAGGCTGGAGTGCAGTGGCCAGATCTCAGCTCACTGCAAGCTCCGCCTCCCGGGTTCACGCCATTCTCCTGCCTCAGCCTCCTGAGTAGCTGGGACTACAGGCGCCTGCCACTTTGCCTGGCTAGTTTTTTGTATTTTTTAGTAGAGACGGGGTTTCACCGTGTTAGCCCGGATGGTCTCGATCTCCTGACCTCGTGATCCGCCCGTCTCGGCCCCCCAAAGTGCTGGGATTACAGGCTTGAGCCACCGCGCCCGGCCAGGGATTTTCGGTTTCTAAAATGAATCAAAACAATGAGACAACTCCTACAATAATTAGACTTTTACATTATTTAGAGATAGATTTTTTTCAATGTGATAATTTTGGATCTGGACTCAGTTTATCACAGCAAACCGGTAGTTTAATCTGTTTGGAAACTACACACACACCCCCGCAACGAACAGAGGACAAATTAAATGAGAAGATACAAAATAGAGGTATTTGCAACTGATTCCAGTCTTTCTTCTGAGCTGCCTACCTGAGTCTGTGGCACATCCCTCACAAATGTGCCAGTGGCACCTCAAATTCAACACGTCCGAAGTCGAACTAAGTGATCTACTTCCAGAGGTCAGCCATGGAACAAATTAGCCATGAGCTACTTTTAGGACGTCAAGTTTTATTGGATTGCTGCCACGCCCCTTCATTTGTGCACATGCTACAGCTGCTGTTTCACGCCAGTGGCCGAGTTGAGCAGCTGCAACTGAGACCATGTGGCCTGCACAGCCTAAACATTTCTCCTCGCTGGCCCTTTACCAAAGCAGTTTACTGACCTCTGATCTATTTCTTTAAACCTACTTCTTTTCCTGTATTATCTATTTGGAAGTGTGATCACTTTCCATTCACCCAGTCACCAGACCTGGAGATCTTGCAGTCACCTCTGCCTGAGATACCCATCCCCACACTCCAGTAACTCCCAGCTGGACCTGGAAGGTGCTGCAGCTTGAGGCTTCTCATTCGAATTTTCTCAGCCACCCAGCGGCAGAATGAGTCCCTCCTCTTGCTCTGCCCTGGTCCAAGACTTCTGTCACCGCAGGCACGCTCAGTTCTCATGTAGCCATCCCCTGTCTGCCATGGCACTGATGCACTGCCCTGCACGTAGCAGGCAGTCAATGTGCAGATTAAACATAAGCTAGTTGAATCTAATTGAGTTATTTCTCCTCTCAATGTTTTCAAATCAGTTTCATTCAAGGTTTAATTCAAACTTGCTCCCCACTGACCCTTGCCAGCCATTTGTTTTCCTCCTCCTCTAATGAACCATGGCATCTGTCACCTATCTCTTTCATCTTGCTTTGTGTGTGAAGGTCTTGTTTGCTGAAGCAGAGCAGGCAGGGCTTTCATTCCTTTTCTTTTGGGCCCCTTTAAGGAGCACTGACTCTGACCCTTGGGTCAGCACAGTGCATTCCTTCAGGGTACGATCCCTGACTGAAAGAAAGCAAATCCACAGGTTGCCCAAAGACCTATTCTGAGAAAAAGATAGCTGGCCTATCAGCTTTTCCCTTATAGGAGTCTGAGTAGGGAACCATGAAGAGAATGGCACAGTCAGTGATAGGAACTAAATCTGAGAGGACTGGGAGGGAGGCTGAGGAGACCACCGTGAGCCACGCGCAGGCTAGAGGCAGAGGCATCATGCTTAAAGAGCAATGATGAAATGGTACATAGGGAGGTAGCCAGTCAGGAAGGAAAGGAGAGCAAAGGAAACAAAAGCCCAAGGAAGGAAGGTGAGGGGACCATGAGTGAGGCAGAGCCCTACACCTGTGTCTGGCTAAGTTTAGGGGCCCCCCAGTTTCAGGTCTTCCCACATGAATGTCACAGTCCACACGTGAGACCTCGTGCGAACTTGAGTGGGCCTCTGCATCTCAGAACCCAAACAGCCTTCAGTGTGCAGAGCCAGGATGTGGGAGGTCTGACACTTTAGAACATTTTGTGGATCCTCTTTAAGAAAAAGAATATAAAATTACTTTGCTTTTGCAAATTTTACAAAAATATGCATCATCCATGTGAACACATTGCCAGGGGCCCTGCAAGTGAGAGACCATGAAGCTTAAACTAGTTAGCATCACAGCAAACGCACTTCTGAGCACACATCATCACGCAGGGAGTCTGTGGGGACCAGCCTGGAGTGGGACCCGCACGATCAGGCAGGACAGAGGAGAAGACTAATTCTAGCTGGGGAGCATGTTACCATTTTTATCTAGTTCGGACACATTATACAACCATTTAAAGACCATCTGATCAAAAAGATCCCTACCACCTTGACACGTGACTTTTAAACATTTTTAGTTTAGTGGCACTTATCTCATTTAATCCATGTAAATCACTTTATTTCCATTTTATGTGCCCCCCACCATGGGACTCCAAGGCTCACCTCCCAGGTCTGTGACAGTCGACTGACAGAAGCAGTGTTGAGACCCATCACGATGGCAAAGAAAGAATTCAGGTTTCTCTGGGCTTTGCAGCTATAAAATAAAGAGTAGAGGATACTTTGAGGAAACATTCTTTGCCCAGATAATCACAAAAGATAAAGCTGAAAAGACTCTCCTAGGCCACAGAGCTCAGGAATTCTGCTCTACGGCCTACGTTCCCCTTACTGCCCTTCAGCTGTCTCTAATGCCAAAGAAATGATTCCAAACACCGCAGCTCACCCTTACCTAAAGGAAAAGGTCTGTGCTCTTGACACCCTCCTGATATTTCACAATATTCCTCCTTTTAACCTATGTTGTGTGCATTTACAATTTCAACTGAGCATTCTTTTAAATTCATGTTTCTTTATATATGCCCCACTCTCCTTTTAACAGCTTACTAGTCCGGACTCCTTCATCAAAACACCTTTTTTCATTTTTTGACAGACAAGCCCTTCTCACCTCACAGGTCTAAGCTCTCCTTCCCATTAGATTTAGACACATCTTTGCTACCAACAAAATAGCTACTATAATATGTATATATTTTAAATATGGCATATATTAATGGGAATACTGTTCCACATTTCTCAGTTAAACAAGGAAATGAAATGTAAAATAAGATCACGTTGAGCTCCATTCGTTTCATGAGGCTATCCACTCTGCATAACATCCATCATGCCTAGAGACTTAACTGGTCAACATTCCACTAATTTCCAAAGCCAGCTAAGAGTGCTTGGAAAGGCAGGGGGAGCTCGGGATTTCAGGGCAGCCAGAACCGTCTGGGAATTCCAGGCACTCCTTCATCTGGAGAGCATTAGAAAACAGCCTCTCTGAGACAGGGCTTTAAAATAATAAAAAAATTACCCCAATTACCCTCCCTTGATCGTTTACTATGAAAAAATAAGAAGTACTTAGCAGTAAGCAGAGTGTGTTTCAGGGGCCTCGTGATGTTTATTTAGCTTCCCTCAGTTACCATCCCTTCTGACCTCTTCACCAATGTCTCACATGGAATCTGGGAATAGTGTAGATCCTGCCTGCTTCTTCAGTTAAATACCATGTTATGTTATATGCTATGGATTATTTACTATCATCATTAACAGCTATGTAATATTTTATCAAAAGAGCATATTATAGAACTTATTCCTCTATTGTGGAAAATGATTTTCAATTTTCCCTGTTACAAAGAATGCTGGAAAAAATTTCTTGTATATACAACTTTTTACTGTATTTATGATTTTTTTCCCCATTACGTTAGACTTCCAGTCATTCCATGATTGGTCAAAAGCTGTGAAGACATTAAAGGTTCTCGATACATATTACGAACTGCTGTCCCCCAAAGCTATACCGATCCCCAGTTGTACACACAGTGTATGAGATCACCTAGTTCAGAATCAGGAGAATGAACTGAGATGTGGAGTAAGTAGGGAGACCCACAGCAGCTGTGCTCTGGCAGGCCCCGCCTAAACTGGCCTGCCCAGAACTGGCCTCACAGGTTAGGTACTGCCTGAGTCCAGCTGCACACGGCTCCAAGCAAGGAAGGCTCAGGCCTGGGGTCATTCTAGAAGTTCCATCCCCAGGAACAGTGGAACCTGGAAAGGCCGTGCTGCCTCCACACCTCATGCCGAAGGTTATCTGGGGTGGGCACACATCTTGCGGGCACCTTGCTGCTGAGCCTCCATTGGGCACGGTCTGTCCCTCTCATGGTCCTCCTGTTCAGCTTTTGGCTCTGCCAGCAGTTCCTCAGTAAGTGTGAGGCCCTGTACCTTCATCCAAGCGACCCCTTTGTGCTTTTTTGCCAACTTTCTCCTGGGTAGACCCCGCTTGGTATATTCCATGAATAAACTAAAACAAGATACCTCCCAGTCTGTGATTGGAAAACCTACCTGCATTTGAGAATCATTGCTTTCACATGGTGACTCCCCTTCCTCCTGCTCTTCACTTCCCTCATTTTACTTTTTCTGACCCTTCACAACCCTGAACGTTCCCACCAGCTAGAACAGACTTGAGTTAGTGCCATCTCCTGAGTTGATGTTCTGAAATACCAGGCTCCTCTGCAGAGGCTCTTGTGGTCAGTAAGAACTGCTCCATCCCCTGCGGGAAGCTCCTCAGTGGGAAGTCTCTCTTACCCCTGGGTCCCTTCACCTGAGGATATGATGGAGGCCCCACTGCTTATGCAATCCCTGCTAGACAGCAGGTCCCTTAAGGCTAGAGTACATGTCTAATCTTTTTTATATTCTGCCCATCGCCCAGGTGCCTAGTACACAGCAAGCCTTTTAAACAGTATTTGCTGAAGTAGAAAACAAGAACTTGTTGGGAAATGGTTTTATCATTATTCATTATAAAGATGTCTATTATTCTACTTTTTATTCAGCTTAATCTATCTATGTGAAATCTTAGAATTCCCATCATTTTTTCTTTTAGCTCCCCATGAACAATTTTCCTGGCCCATATAGCTTTCTTTCTTTGTCATATTTTAAGGAAAAAAAAACCCCACAAAAACACACATACAACTAACATCTAAATCTGTTAAGAAAAAAAGGAATTAATACAGACACCATTTCTGGAGAAGACAAATTGATACAGTGCAAATATGAGACACCATTCCAGGCTGGAATCCTCTGTGAGTGAGGGTCATTCATTCCATGACAAGAACAGACTGTCTGACACTAAACATTCCAGTTCAGCAAACACTCCTTTTGTCTTTGTGTGAGGAAATAAAATCCACTCAATCCACAGAGGTGGGGGATGGGGATGGTGAGAAGGAGGGGAAACATGAATATGCAAATAGGATGCCTCAGGCAGGAAAAACACTTCATGATTGTGGAAATGACTATTTTCCCTTGGTTATTCCTACTAGCGTGATTATAGGGAATTTAACATTATTTTCTGTTGGCATTCTGTTCCATGGGCTAGGGATAGAGACCAGTATCATAAAGCATTCAAGAGCATGGGCCATATGGAGAAGATGTGAATATACCCTGAGGACAGATATAATCTTATAGTGGGAACTGAGCTGGGTGGTGTCATCTTACTCCTTGGAACATTAATTTCCCACTTATTCACGTAATTAGCATTCATAAGAAAGCGTTTTACCCAAAAAAGCCTCACCTTTAGGAATTTTACAAGCCATTTTGGAACACAATGGCCAAATTTTTTAAAAACAGCATTCACCATAAAAGCAATCAATAAGATTTAGGCATATCTTGTTTTCTATCCTTCCATGCCCAGTCACACAAAATACCAGGTCAGGAACCTCCATGGTCTCTTGCCTAAGAAAAATTATCCTACTCTTGGGGTCTCTTTGCTATAGTTCAGTGTGCTAGTTTCAGACCAACCTTCCTGAAGGATAACTCTGATCATAACAGGCTCCTGCCCAAAAACTTAAAAAAAAAATCCCTTCTCCCTTCTCAATTCAGTTCAAACCCTTCAATCTGAAATTCAAGATCTTTTACAATTTGGTCCCATCTGTCTTTGCAGATCATTCTCCCACAATTTCCTTACAAATCCCCCTCCACTCTTAATCAGTCTCTGACCACAGGCTCTGCTTCATTGTCTCCACTGAGTCGACCTCCCACAGACAGTGTGCTCTTTTGAATTCCTACCTGTCACTTCCCACCCAGAATTCAAAGAGATGCAAAGACAACTTCCTTCACCAATGCTTTCCTCATCCTGCTTCCCAAACCCTTGGGGTATGAGCTCTCACTCCTCTAAAGCCCTCAACAGACTTAGATCTTCTTCTAGGGCATTCCTCCATTCTATTTTGCACAGGAGCCAGCTGAGGTATAGAATTACCCACTGACACACTGCAAGCCTCACAAAGGCAGGAACCGTGTGTAGATTCAGTCTGATTTCCCCACACTACCTTGTACACATCTGTACATATAAGTGATCGATATATACTTTCTGAATATGCTGCATTGACATGTACTTGAAAACTGTTTGATATAAAAACTACTTTGGAAGACAAAGGAGAAATAAAACTGGAAGCCCAGGAAGTAAAAGGAGCTGGCGAAGATTTTGATTCATGCTCCCTGCTTCTGCTGGGGAGCTGTCCAAAGAACAGACTCTTGATATGAATCTGATATTTTAAGAGATGCTCCTAGCAAGTTACTAAAATTTCATTCAACATTTACTGAGACATTGCTATTTACCAACTTCTGTACCATGCACCCAGGTATAATGATTGACAAGAAATATCCCCTGTTCTTTGAAAGCGAATATAGCCTAGTGAAGAAATCCTATATAAACAGATAAATTGAATAAATATAGTAAGTTTCCATAAGCTAAAAAGTATATGTGTGCGAGGGGAAGTAGAGGCAGTAGTGGAAGTAGTACCCCTGCATTTGAAAATCAGGGGTAACTTCAGGAAGGAAGTAATACTTGACTGAGGTCTTGAAGAACGGCAGCAATTTGCTGAATGCCAGTGGCCATTCTTGGCAAAGTCGACAAGTATTCACACTTGGAAGATGGTGCTCATGGGAGAGACAGACATTTAGAGTGGCTAGAGCATGGGGTGCACCCGGGGGTGAAGCTCAGGGGGTGGGGCCAGCCAGTGCAGGGCCTTTGAATGAATGAGTTCTCAAAAGTTCATACTCTGGGCCTCAAGGAGCAATGAACGGGTCCTACAATGTACCTGACGTGCAATGATTCCCACTTTTGCACATCATCATCTCCTTTTTTCTAGCCTCCTGTAGCTCACCCAGGCACCCTGTAGTTCAGCTGCAAGATGAAGGATGTGTGTACTGCCTGCTTATTAGTGCTGGAGGCAGAGAGCATACTGCTTCTGTCTGATATTTTGACATTTACTTTAAGGTATAAATACTTGAAATGCAAAGACATAAATATTCAAAAATGGACCTTTTCAGCCACTTGGTCATTTAACTCCATATTACATGTTTATATCCCAACCCTTATCACCATAAGACAAAAAGAAAAACAATGTGCTTTCTCAAGGAGACTAGAGGAATGGCACTTCTCACACTAGAAACTTACTGAGCCGCAATTTTGATGAATTTTTTCACCAGCTGCACTCGCTTGCCCAGCTGGCTGCAGAGCAGAATCTCCGTGGCCACCCAGAGCTGGACCTCATTGCATCTCTGGAGCAGAAGGCTGAGGTTTGCAGTGTGTTCCCCACTTCCCTGTCTGCTGAATGTGAAGTAGATCAGCTCTTGCTGAAAGAAAATGTATTCATGCCAGGGTTTATTTATAGCAAAGTATAGTTGATACAAAATTCGGTCAAATTTTAAGAGCTACTTCAGGTAGTCCCTCCCATATTATTAATATGCTAACGGAGAATATGGTGAACAGTAATATATTAAATTCAAAATGACTCAGTTTTAGAGGTGCCTCATTCAATAATGCTTTTTGTGATTTTTGTGTTTTATATAAGTGATTTTTCAGAATGTAAGGAAGACATCTTTATACACAAATCTAAGATATTCTGAAGTTTAAATCATAGGATAAATGGAATCCCCAAATTTCCGAACCTTGTCACGTTGAAAAATTCAAGTGAAAATGAACACTAGTACTACTAGTATTTGTTAAGGTGCACATCAGACCCTCACAGGTCTGTTCTCTAAGACAGTGGTCCTCAAATTTTGGTGTGAATCAGGATCACCTGGAGGACTGCTGAAGCACAGATTGCCGGATCTCACCCCTAGAACCTCTGATCCTGCAGGGGTGTGGAGGGGCCGGAAATCTGCATTTCTAACAAGTGCCCAAGTCCCGCTGATGATGCTGGTCTGAGTATCTGCTCTTTAAACACCGCTGATATAAAACATTGTCAAACCATAAATGGAAAGAGAATGAGATTAGGGCAAGGTCTAATAATTTATGAAAGCAAACAAGACCAGTAACTATTTATATAGATGGATCATGTGCAAAGCAATAGATTTGTTTTTAAATGTGTGTGTGCGTGTATGTGTGTTTTACAGAGGTAATCTACCTTCTTCCACTGCATAAGCAGGGATATATCCTAGTCTACTAACATTTCCAAAGACACAAGTCATTTAGCCTGAAGGAATTCACTACTTGCTCACATTCTGATCACAATATTGAAATCTGTTTAATGAGAAAATACGAGGACATTTGGGTCTCTAAATTGGGCGTGAGGTTCCTTCTTCAGAAGGAAAGGCCACTTCAGAATGAAAAATTTTACTACATGGCAAAACAAATGCAACATATGGTTGCAGAGGGCTCTAACATTTTTCATCTCTTGATTCCCGTGAGTGTTTCCTCTGGCCAAATGTACTCAAGAATTGTCGGTAGCATTTTGCTCCCAATCTATTGTTTTAAAAATGTCATAATCTGTCCTTAAGTGAAAAATTGATGGACATAAAAACTTGAAATATATCTAAAATTTTCAATAAAGTACTTTAAATCTTACAATGCAGTCTAAACTTGTAGAATGTTCTTAAGTTAAAAGATGCATATGTGTGTACATAAATAAATATGAATATGATTCTTGTACAACTATCATAAACTTTATGGAAAAAATAAACCTATCAATATCAAAGGTAAAATGGTTAATCAACCCCATTAGAGCCTCATCTCCAAATACATACATATATATTTATACACGTGAAATATAGCATATTTATACATTACACAAGCATATGCTCACACTTGGAACAAATAAAAGCATGCTTGCATATTCTGATTTTTTTAGACTTGAGTCAGTCTTTCAATATATTTAAAGTCCCCAAGTATCTTTTGGACCATGTTATTCTAGTATAATTTCATCACCGCACGCACTGATATTCTGCACAAAGAATTCACAGTTAAAACAGCATTTGTATTTTATCTTTTCACTCCTCACGTACCTCGTGAATTGAATTGAATAGACTCCAATCAAAATTCATTAATTCCAGAGCAAGATCCCAAGTGTTCATTCCCAAAATCCTCATCGACCTTTGCTGTGATTCCTCATTTTCTGCAAACGGGTTCTAAACCGACAGAAGCAAAAAGATCCTCAGTAATTCCCAAATGTTTTGCACTGCATTGGCTGGCTGTAGAAAGGCACTAGAAACCCAGATTAGCAAAGTAATCTTTTCTCTGAGTGCACTTAATATTTTCCCTGGTCTGTTCTCCTTCAGTGAGTTACAGCCAATTTAGGAAACGGTCTTGGAAATAGTAGAACGTGATCAATGATACTTCAGTGAGTTCGCCCGCTCCTCCCCCATCTCTCTCCCCCGCCCCCACGTGCACACATGCACGCACAAATCTGATTATAAAACACTGCCCTGGCAGACAGCATAATGAAAGCGAAAGCCCCGAAATCACTTTGGCTTCTGGTAAGAATTAATGTGCCAGCAGGGTTAGTATAAAAACAAACAAAAGAAATGTCATGGTGCACTTCAATAAAGACAGACATGGTGTTTACAGGAAATATGTTTAGCAAGTCTCATCCCAGACACACATTTACACATTTTATTAAAATGCCCATGGAAAGTAAAAAAACAAATTTAACATGAAATAAAAATTATTTCATTTATATCCCATGGTGGATTATTATTTTAAGCATCAACCACTTTCCCTATGTAAATAGGGCCTAACCACTATGAGGCTGGTAACAGTATTTCCTTAAGATATGGCATAAAAGTATTAGATGCCATCACAACTTTCAATCTATTTCACCACTAAAGTTATTAAAAAGATTATTTGGCATGTTTCCAAAATAGTTGATGTTTTCTAATGAAAATATAAATTCTCCCATTTGAAGCGTTAGATTTGAATAATAACTTTAAAACAAACAGAAGGAACCTTGCAACAATAAATGGCATAGTAGGATAAAGGGAATATTCCAGCTGCCAAATATTAATCCATATTTCTAAACTGAAAAATAAATTATTTGCATTTTAGAAGTTTTACATTGATGAAAAGTTTTCCTATTTTTTCTTTTTCTTTTTTTTTTTTAAAACCTAGGCCGGGCACAGTGGCTCAAGCCTGTAATCCCAGCACTTTGGGAGGCTGAGACGGGCGGATCATGAGGTGAGGAAATCGAGACCATCCTGGCTAACACGATGAAACCCCGTCTCTACTAAAAAAAATACAAAAAACTAGCCGGGCGAGGTGGCGGGCGCCTGTAGTCCCAGCTACTCGGGAGGCTGAGGCAGGAGAATGGTGTGAACCCGGGAGGCGGAGCTTGCAGTGAGCCCAGATCGCGTCACTGCACTCCAGCCTGGGCGACAGAGCGAGACTCCATCTCAAAAAAAGAAAAGAAAAACCTAATGACTGAAGATCTTCACAGAGCTTTCCCACAGACTCAGTCCTCTCAGCAGCAGGTCAAGGTTCACTTTGTCTCTGTATCCCCAGTGTAGGACACAGTGTGGTGCTCAGAAAGCAATGACCAAATGAACCAGCTAACAAATTTTGAGGTGTTGAGGTGGAGGAAAAGCTGAGGTTTCTCAGGGATTGGTCTGGATAGGCTAAGACCAGACAGACTCTACTGCTGACTTTCAAAGAAAGACCCAGAGTGAGGAAGTAACACACATACCTGCTTAATAATTTAGAGGCGTCAGGAAATTTCTACTTGTTTTTTTGTGCCCATTTTCTCCCTAATTGGGTCCCTTACCCAACTTGAGTTATTAACTCTAGTTATTCAAGGTTGAATAACTCTAGTTATTCAAGGTTGTCCATTGCCCTTGCCAAGGAACATTAAATTTTTCTATCTCATTCCTTCAGTGCTCTAATTCCTGTTTTCTAAGAAGATTAATCTACGTGAAAGTGATAGTAGGTACTGGTGTTTTCATCTGTTATTCTTCCCTCACAATGTTAGATTTTAACTGACATCTTTTGGTGATGAAATATCTAAACCTATGATTCCAATAGGACAATTTTAGGTGGTGTGGGGAGTTGGCGGGGGAAGCTTTTGAGGTAGGATGGAGTCTGGCTTCTCTTGGAACATATTTCACAGCACCTATTTACTCCATCAAGGCATTGCCCAGGCCTGCCTTCTTTTCTGAATGTGGCCCTGGACAGTGGTAGATTGATCCATGGGGATGCACAGGAGGGAGCTGCCTGAGAAGGCCACATATGGGTGGCAGAGGATGAGTGGAAGATATTCAGAGTGGAATTTTCCTCTACACAACAAGCCTCGCAGTAGCTACATGTCAGATCATCCTCCTTCATGGGGAACGGTAAAATCAATCTCATTTTTACTCAAAAATGCTGCACAGCACCCAGTTGGTTATGTTTCACTGACAGAATTACACAGGACTTGCGGCCTGCTGAAGGACAGCCCAGGAAAAGTCCAAGTAAGGCATGTACAAATGAAAGGAACGCGCAGGGGCTTCAGAGTCAAACATAGAATTGCATTTAAAAATCGAAGCACTCTCCCTTACTTGGCTGTATGAAGCTAGAGTGGTTACTCAGCCTCTCTCCTGGGGTTACTAGAAGTGTTAAATGAGATACCGTATGTAAATTACTCAGTACACACAGATCTAGTAATAAGTGATTAACATTACTATGGTAGCTTAATATCCTGCAGACAATGTTACATAAAATGTCTTTCCAGTAGACATATATCTGGACGTAAAACTATTATCAGTAGTTTGGGTTAGCCTACATGGTATGCTGGTTTCTCAACTATACATACAACAGGAGCCAGTGAGAAAGACTCACCCCAGCGATGGCTCCATGAAGAGATGGGGACTCTGAGTTTCAGACACAACCGCAATCTGCTAGAGCCCACTTTTTCTAAATGACAGATCTGAAGCCTGGTCCTGCTATTCAGAAACCAACCCCAGGACTGAAGTCTTTAGGAACCACAGCAGCAATGAAATCATCCACTTAGGCATAAGTGTTCTTAAATTTTGGACTGAAAGTAACTTAAAGTGCGTGTTCTACATTTCTCCAGACTCTTTCTCTTCAGTGGCAGCTGATGCCCCTTCACCATGACCTCGTTCTACACACAGAAGGCAGATCATCCATGCTTTTCTTCAAGGGAATGGAACCAGGTGTACCAAACATACTGAAACAAAGGTCTCTTTCTCCTTAAATCCACCTAGGATGCATTTCTCAGCCTCATCTCCGTATACTCACCGAAAAAGAAGAAATGAAATTAAAATTCGATGGGAGAAGGAGTCACTTGTCTCAAATCCCTTATTTCAGGGGCTCAGAAAGGGTTTCACTTAGGCAGGGTTTAGCATTCCTCAAGTGGGATTGGATTGAATTGAATTGCTTGACCCCTTTTTGATTTGTAAAAGTACTGTTACTTGGGAACTACATCATTGGATAAGGGAAGAAATAATTTAATTTTTTAACATTCATTATAAACACATAAAAATTATGCTTTGAGTCTGACATTTATGTGGTGTGTGCGTTCTGAATAGCAGGACCATTCCATTTTTTTCTTTTTTTTTAGACAAAGTCCTATCCTGTCACCCAGGCTGGAGTGCAATGATGAGATCACAACTCACTGCAGCCTCGACCTCCTGGGCTCAAGAGATCCTCCCACCTCAGCACACACCTAGGGACAGCAGGTGTGTACTACTATGCCCAGCTAATTTTTAAATTTTTTTGTAGAGACAGGGTCGCAAACTTCTAAGCTGGTCTCAAACTTCTGAGCTCAAGCCATCTTCCTGTCTTGGACTCCCAAAGTGCTCGGATTACAGGTATGAGCCACCTCACCTGGCCTGTTTGTTTCAAATACAAGGCTGAAGGTCCTTACCAAAGTGTCCGCCAGGTCTTTCCGATAGACATATATCCGATCAGATGCCTCGAGGGATTTGGAGATGACTAAGTCATTCGGCTGAAGTTCATGCTTTCCTTTATTTGAAAAAAAAAAAAAAAGGAATAATCAGAAATATAAGAGTAGCAGCAGTAGGCCTACACAGTACACTTAAGTGAAACTGCCAAAGAAAAATACTTAAAAGTAAATAGAACTTAAAGTGGATTAATTCAGTTCTGCACACTCTATACAATGACAACAGTGGCATCACGAACAGCTCTCACTGCTCAGTGGCCAGAAAGTGGAGTCCTCTTGAAGTTCTTTCCTATAACATTTAGTCATTGTTTGGAACATAGAACAGTTTAAGAGAAAAAGTAAAATTTACTCATCTAAGATAACAATACCATGTTAACACTGGTTACATTTAGGTCTATTTTTGTTCTGATTTTTATATAACTGTGTGTATATATACACACACAAATTGCATTGATTTGCAATGATTTATGCATACGCATTTGTAATTATTGTGGGTACACATATACATTTGCAATTATTCCATAATTTTATATTCTGATATTCTTATAAGCACTTTATCCACTTAACAAAATTATTTACATATGTCATATTTAATTGGTTATATAATAGTTCATTATACCATCATTTAATCTTTCCTCTATTGTTTAACATTTAATGGTTAATTTTTTTGGTCATATAAATTAGATGGCATGATGTATGTTAAGTACTGGCACGGGGCCTGGCACATAACTGGGGTTTGGTAGATGGGATCTATTATTATATCAGCCATAATATATATTGCTGAAGTCAACATCTTTATGTTTTAATCTTTGTCTGCTTATAAATGATTTTCTTAAGACGGACTCCCAGTATTAGAATTACTAGGTCAAAGGGAATGAAAATTTTTTAAGTTTTTGATACAAGCTACCAAATCGTTTCTGATTTTTATTTTTTAAAAAAGACAATATATTTTCCTAAAAAATAGGTATAAAACTTGCACACTGACCAACACTGATCATTACTTTTTTTTCTGAGATGGAGTTGCGCTCTGTCACCCAGGCTGGAGAGCACTCATGCAATCTCAGCTCACTGCAACCTCTGCTTTCTGGGTTCAAGCGATTCTCCCACCTCAGCCTCCCGAGTAGCTGAGATTACAGGTGCCTACTACCACGTCTGGCTAATTTTGTATTTTCAGTAGAGATGGAGTTTTACCATGTTGTCTAGGCTGACCGTGAACTCCTGACCTCAAGTGATCCACCTGCCTTGGCCTCCCAGAGTGCTGGGATTACAGGCATGAGCCACCGCGCCCAGCCTGGTCAATACTTTTGATAAGTTTACTATTTTGCTAATACAAAAAGTAGATTCTCTGTTTACTTTGTGTTTCTTAACTAGTAGGTTGAGTATTTTTCATATATTCCTCTTCTATCTTATTTCTCTTGATGAAAATTATTCCTATCCTTTGACCATTTTCTACCACAGTTGGAGCCCTCTTAAAACATAATAGCTTTCTTCCTAGAAAATGCCCTCCTCCTAACTACAAAATGCATATAGGAGTAGACTAAAGCCATATTAAAGTTTATTTCACTGTGACACCATCAGCTTCTCCTAAGGTAGCTGTTCGGTTATCCAGCATGATTGGGAAATGCAATATTCCATATGCCTTTTCTAGATAATTGACCCAAATGCAAAGTGTTGTTTTGAACATTTCTGTTTAATACAGAGTACACAAATAATAATCTAATATATTCTTTATGGCCCAGCATTATAAAGATCCACAGTACTATAATGTTGGGCTGGTGACATGTATAGTGGATGCTGTCACACGGCCGGGTTCTGAAGTTTCATCTCCTGGGTGCCATCTGCTCCTTCTTTGTTCAGCTATAATTTCCTGCAGCCCTTTCTGTGCCTATGTATACCTTAAATCTGAATTTATGAGAGCCATTCACACTTTATAGAATAAAATGTCATAACTTTCTGATAGCATTTTTCTATTTGCTGAGAAATAGTTTTCCCCTTATTTTCAGGTTTGTCACTATACTATGAAAGATTAAAACTGATAGAATTTTAACCTCTGAATAACTGGGTAGTCTATTGTTACTACATACATATAACTACCCTGGGTAAAAAACAGCTAAAAACCTACCAAAGCTATGAGAATGATACTATTGTTCCTTTTAAAAAATCCATAAAACCTCCAACATCTCTGACATCTTAAAACTTTTTTTTTGACAAAAATAAAGAAAAAACTCACCATTTCTTTTTGAAGTAGCACTAAAATATAATTTATTAAAAATGATGTAATTAGAACAAGGAATGCATTAAGCTCTTGAGTTTGTTTTCTTCGTTAAAACATTATTGTTTGGGGGATAAAAAGATGCAGGAAGAAAGGTTCCCTACAGACAACAACAACAAAAAAAAGGTAGAGGATGGAAAATAATGGCACATTGCCAAATCTGTGGGATAATTCAAGAGATATGCTGATATTTCTAGTGATGATTAGCAATGGGTCTATACACATTACAACGCTATTGCCCATCCTGATGAATCTAATTTAATAGAGTGTGAAAATGGTATTTCACAGCCACCAAATAGATATTGGGCAGTGAAAGAGCCGTTCATTAATTGCCAGCTTCTCATGAGGCCCTGGGTTGACTCTCAGTCAGTTCCCAAAGGAGACGGGTCTCAGTTTTCCTGCAAAGTTCATTCAGCTCTTCCTTCTCTGGCACCTTCTGTCTGAATGGGGACCCCAGGATCACTCTCTGTAATGGTACTACCTTGAGAGGCAGATGCTCAAGCTTAATACTGCTTAATTAAGCAGTATTGATAAAGCTTAATACTGTTTAAAATCCTTTTATATTTTTGGTCACTTGAAAATTAAATACACATTTATCATACCTATTTGAAATACATTATCAAAAATCGAACCACTTTCTGATTAAAATTCATTTAGCCCATATGTTTCTCAAATTCTTTTTTCTAGATCATGTTTTGCTAAGATATACAATTAGAGCCCTGGGAGATGGGGGAGGGATTCTTATGTATTAGGCCCAGGGAGAAGGGCTTCATTTGCATATGTCATCAGCCAGCTTGTAGGACCATTTTACCTGCCTGTGAGCAACAAAGCCATAGGAACAAGATACTTTACCCTCAAGTATATTCTGATACTCATTTCCCAACTGGAGAATGATAACAAAGGGTAAACAGGAATGCAGTTTATCTGCTCCCCTCCCCCGCCCGCATCTCTGGTTGATTAGTCCACACAGTGCTCACGTCTTTCAACTACTGATGCTAAGTCACTTTCTTTGTATTTTTTCTCAGGGTTAAGGAGATATTAAATAAAGATTGCAAACCAAAAAAGGAGGCCAGCAACACAGATCTGACAGGCTCCAGTGAAAACGAAGGGGTCTGTTCAAACCGCACAGATCAATAGTGTCAGCTTGTAATCTGTGTGATCTTATTCAAAACAGACAATAAACCATTCTCTGAGGATAAATAAGGCCCAACAGAAGGAGAAGCTGTAACCAGGCCTCACTCCCCACGTCCACCTAAAGGAATATTGCTGTGTGAGCTTTCAGCTTATTGTACAGTTTGTCTTTCTTTCAATAGGGAGTCTTTAACTATTAAACTGTCAGCCCTCAATAGGACTGGTTCAAGGCCATCTTTCCTTTTTTTCCCCCCTAAAGTAATTTCACTCTTTAGCAATTTCCCAAGTTAATTTAAATAGGAAAATAGAAGGCTTATCTAGAGTATAAAATATGAAAAGCTTTATAATGTATTTCAAAACACTGGCATGCCTCTCTATTCAGTTCTTGGGGAGGAAATTCAGTATCCCACAGTACCCAACTGTTGTCATGGAAACACTTCTGGTAGGCAGCTTCTTATTGTTACTGTGGTCATCCAGCTGCGGGTCCAGAAGGGAGGAGCTGCACTTTTACCCTACAAAAATGCCAACTCCCTCCTTTTGAAGGAGATCAGTGAAAGATTAATATTCAAGGGTAGAAAACAACTTACCTCCAGAGAATGTGATGGCCACCAGAGCCAGATCCTCTTCAGCATACTGGATCTTTTCTGCGACGAATTTTAGGATCTCTTGGGCTGTACTGGAAACTTTTGCCTTCACACTGACATAGGAGTGCTCTGTTATATACACGTGGCAGAAAACTGCACAAGTGAAAAGAATTGTTTGGAAACAGAACAGTGACTTTTCCAAATCAAGGCACCTTGATCAACTTTTCTAAATCAACCCACCTTGCTATTCTCTTCAGTATAACACATATAGAGTTAGATTTTTTATATAGGCACATGAGCGCCTGAGGGTATATGTCTATGAATGTGTGCTTGCAAACACATGAAACTCAGATGTTATAAAGCTAGCCAACAAGCACGAGTAGTATTTAATCTTTTCATTCTGTAATGAGAGACCCGAGTCATACAAGTGTGTACTCATTGTAGAAACCATCTGACCATCATACAGTGGAATCTGTGGTGCACAGACTGTATTTTTAAATCCCTTCTTTGACAGTTGCTGAGATCTCCCAAAGCTGCATATTAAAGTGTCTAATTCATAAATTTTTCCTTTACACTCCATTTCAGGACAATCTCAGTGGCCCAATCAAGAACACCGTATTTTGCTATTAGAATTCTCATAAGTTTATCTAAAAATCTGTCATCTGCTTTGGTTTTTGAGCTCAGTTTTCTCAATCATTTAAGAATGACTCCATTTCTCCCACCAAGGTAGTGACGAATTTAGTTTCCAAATGGAGGTCATATTTCTAGCCTTTTTAATTTCCTTTTTTATTGTCTGTGGTGCTAATAATTATTACTAGGACATTATCACTGTCAGGGTGAATGGGTCCTGAAAAATGTTTTCTTTATGATATTAATAGCAGAAGCTGTTTTAATAGCAATGGAAGTAACTGACACATTGCCTCTTACATCAGCTACTATAAATGTATAAAATGCACCAGCTTCTTTCCAGTAGACAGAAGGACAATAATATACTTAGATATTCTACTCTTTGGTGTTGCAAAAAAAAATTGAGAGTGAAGCTTCTGGAGAAATTTTACATGCAGTTTAAATATCACCACAAAAATAAATCCAGGAATGTTTTCGTAGAAATACAAATGAAGCAAAAGTCTAACTATGAGTTTATATGTATAGAACCTGAAAGTAAACACACCACCAGGAGACACTTGACATATTTGGTTTGGTTGGGTATGTCACTAAAACAATAGCATGTAACAAATAGTTGTTTTGTATTTTGCCAACTGACTAGCCAGAGAGAAAAAGGCTTTCCTCCTTCCATAGAAAGATGGAATTTTTAAGCAAGGCAAAATCTGTCTATAAACTACTATATGTGGGGTAAGTTTACATCTTGCTAAATAAACTGATAAACAAAAAGAGGCTGGGGGCCTTGAAATACTTTCCCTTTTTGCAGCTTAGCTTGGAAAACTATATGATGAAACTTCAAGACAAATGGGCAAGGAAGGTCAGTAACAAAGGAATTAGGAAGTTAGATAATTTTGTTTTCTCTTTCACTTGGTACGGATGACACTTAATATGAGTCAACAGAACCATCTATCAGCAGCATTATATACAAACACTATCTAAAGGAATAAGCATCCTTGTGGCTTCTTTTACAAGTTCCAGAAATTGGGCAAATATTAAATGATCACACTCAGAATTTCAGCATATGAAGAAAGATGAGTCAAAAGAGAGAGTCTGTGAGTCACAATTGCATTAACATTTTAATTTGCTGTGTTTTCCAGCTCTGCACTTGACTCAACCTCTATCTAAAAGAAGAAAACCATTGTTAATATTTCTTGTTCCTCTTTAAAACATTAACATAGAAAAGCACTTCAGCATCTTCAGGGTTCTAAAAAGGTGTTTCCCCTTGTGTTGGATGAACAGCCCTCTTCAGGGGAAGCCATGAGCCTCTTCTACAAAAATAAGCAGTGACTGAGGACACAGCAGATGGGCGGCACTGCCCACACAGCCTGACCTTGCAGGAGCTTCTACCGTACAGCCTTCTCTCCATTATTCTCTCTAAGAGTTTCTTGTCATGGACTGACTCAGCCCAAATCTGCACATTGACTTTGGTGATCCTTCCAGTTAGTCATAGGCAATGGGCTGATGAAGGCAGGGAGAAGATGGTTCTAGGAGAAAATGTTGAGTTTCCTGTTCATTTTTACCCCTTCTCAAAAATGCAAGGAGGCTCTAGGCATTGTCTCCTTTCCTTGTTTCCCAAATTATAAGCATCCTTGTTGCTTGGGACAGTATTATGTGATCTAAGAAAACTATAATGCTCAAAGAAAGAAAAGAAAAACATGCTATTTGATGCTAACATGCTTATCTGAGGGGTGACAGCTAGAAATGAAGGTTAGTCAGACTGATATGCCAATGTAGGAGAAAAATGGTGGCTAACTGCTACCTACTCCCAAACCCTCACTTCAAACCATACTCACTTTCCTCTGTTTCAGTCACAGTTCCTCTATGCTGGAGCCAGTTCTCCTTAAGACTGAATTGGTGGAAAAGGGCTTTATTCTGTGAGATTGGAGAAAGAGAACAATGAATGAATGCATTCCTGCCCTTTGGAAAACCATAGCTGTTTACAACATGTTCCAAAAGAGCCAGCCAATTTTTTTTTAAAATGTGAAATCCACCCATCCAATCTTAGAGAAATAAACTGGGAGTCACCCCAACTAATGCAAATGGTGGTGGAGATTCTGAGCAATCTGATGGGCCTGGGCTAAGGCCAGCAGCAGGCCAAACGTCCTTATATTTATTCCCTGCAACATGACTTTTCACATCTGGCTATTACAAACATCCACAGTCTCCTGAGATAAACATGATTTCCCCATTCCAACATGAATCTGTAAGGTATAGTTATCACAATCTGATCCTCTGCTATTACATTTTTCACAGAAGCAACTTTGAGATGGTTTCAATACCTCTGCTATAGTACAATGACTTTCCTGAGGGACACAGGCATACTATTCATTATGATTATCCACCTGATATAGCTGTGTCTCCAAAACTTGTGCCTGATATCTCAGTCCATATTTCCCCCTTATCAAATTGGACTGAGAACACATTCCCACTTGCTACCTTCTCTTTCTGTTGTATTAAAAGTGCAAATATTTTCCTTATAAGACTTCTTTCCTCTTAGAGTCAAGATTCCTCCTACCTGGATTTTTTTTTTTTTTTGACATAAACATCTTAAAATTCAAATTTATATCACTCCAGGGACAGCAGGAAGCCCTGAGACTCTAAAATGCACCACAAAATCAGCAGAATGTCAAAAAGTCAAGGATACACAGCTAAAATCGGATCTGCACCAGCACAGGAATAACTAAAGCAAAGCAGGAAAGCGCAGGGAAGCTGCAACCCCAGGCGCCCCGCCTTGTCGGGTTCCGCTCGAGGCAGTATTCATTTTAATTTTGAAACACGCCAAGGGAGGCAAGGCAAGGTCTCCAAACCAGATCACCTAATTTTAGGTATAGAAGCATCTGCTTACCTTTTTTTGTGGTGAATATTCATCCACAGTGCTGAAAGGAAAAATGCCAAGAAGTCAGTCTTTGTCCCAAACCCAGAATAATGCAGTTATTGTTATGGAAGACTAATTTTCCAGCACTAGGCAGAGGATTTTGCTCTTTAAAAAAGATAAAACACAGTATTCATTAATTCACTATGTACAACACACTTGACATTGGGCTCTGAATTTCAAATGAGTCAGGAAGTAAAGAAGTTATGGATTCAACAGATGTATTTTGCCTTCTACCCACAGAAAGTGAAGCTCAGAAGTGAGGGAGGAACTGGATCAGTCCATAGACATAAGTTTTCTCACACAGTGATAGTGATAGATTTTAGGTGAAATTACTGCTATTTAGATAGCTAAGTCATTCAGCCAAGGCACATCTTTTCCAGGATGTGTCTCTGTGTGGTGGAACTGGGAACACTCTGTCCATCTCTGATCATCTCCACAGATTCCCACCTTCAAGTGCCCTCTGAACGCCACCTCCACTTACAAAGGAGCCAGTACCGGGGCCAATTTCATACATCATTAGGTGAACTATAAATTAAAAGTATGAGTCTTACTCTCAGAAAGGAACACTTTCTCCTCTATTTGTGTACTGGGGCTAGAGAAAAAAAAAGTCACGAGTTTTACATTTAGGGCTTGAATCTTATTCTAGAATCTAAAGCTATTTCATAATCTTATAAAAATAGGCAAGAATCATTTCTTTTTTTTTTTTTTTTTTTTTTTTTTGAAACATAGTCTAACTCTCTCACCCAGGCTAGAGTGCCGTGGCGTGATCACTGTTCACTGCAGCCTTGACCTCCAGGGCTCAAGTGATCCTCCTGCCTCAGCCTCCCAAGTAGCTGGAACTACAGGCATGTACCACCATGCCCAGCTAAGTTTCTGTTTTTGGTAGAGGTGGGGTCTCACTATGTTGTCCAGGGTGGTCTTAAACTCCTAAACTCTTGGACACAAGTGATTCTCCCACCTCCACCTCCCAAAGTGCTGGGATTACAGGTGTGAGTCACTGTGCCAACCAAGAATCATTTATTTATGTCATTTTCTTATTTTATTCTATTATTTACCATTTTTGTGTAGGTTTTTAAAATGGAATGTATTAAATTTCCATTAATGTATTTGATGAAATATGTTCACATGTATTAAAACATGAATTAAAGTTTCCCAGCTATAACAGGTCTGCCTCATAGCACAGAGCAACTTCCATATGGGGGATTATTTTGATGACAAGGTTGTCCTTTTTTTCCTTGTTTGATTTCATTTATTAGTTAATATTTTCATATAAGTCTTAGGCTGTGGAAACTTAACATAATGTAGACTGTAACAGAAGAAGACCACCAACATTTACAACATTCATCTCTAAGGTACTGTGCTAACTTGCACTTTACTTTCAAATCTCTCAGTGTAAGATTCTGATGATTGAGGACTGAAGTATACACACGGTTTGCTACCTAAGATTAATTTATACAGATATTTCACTTGCAATGAGGTCTCCCTTTACTAAAACTAAGTCAAGCTTTAAATGACAAATTAGTCATCTGAAAGGCTTGAATTAACACTTTCCATGAGAGGTGCAATTTGTGACTGTTGAAACCGTTAACAGAAGCTTTTCACAACTTGACAATAAATGTGCTTTATGTTTATGAAATATACACTGTAAATCAGAAAACAAGTTTTCCTTTTAGATGAACTCTGCGGCTAAACCTGAAAACTGAATGACTTGATGTTTTCTTTACCAAAATGAGTAAGGGGACTTAATGGTAATATCACTAATAGTAAAGTTGGGTGTTGCCAATCTGAAAGATTAATGACAGATACCTAGGGGACACTTAGACATGCCAAGAGTCATTGAGTAAATGGCTCTTTAAAATCTTTCTAAATTGAAAATGAAACCTCAGGGAACCCATAAAATTGAGCTTTTAAAATGCTCCACAGGCTGGGTGTGGTGACTCACACCTATAATCCCAGTACTTTGGGAGGCTGAGGCAGGCAAATCACCTGAGGTTGGGAGTTCAAGACCAGCCTGGCCAACATAGTGAAACCCCATCTCTACTAAAAATACAAAAAAGTAGCCAGGTGTGGTGGTGCATGTCTGTAATCCCAGCTACTCAGGAGGTTGAGGCATGAAAATTGCTCAGACCCAGGAGGTGGAGGTTGCAGTGAGCCAAGATCACGCTGCTGTATTCCAGCCTGAGCAGCAGAGTGACTATATCCCAAAAAATAAAATAAAATAAAATGTTCCACAACTCCCTGAGACCTATTTATTAAACTTTTCCTCCCTATTCCATAGAGATAGTTACAAGCCCCAAAATGACAAGTTACATAGACTTTTAAAATTAAGTAATAATTTACTAATTGTTTTTATGCACCCGGTTGTTATGGTCCAGGCTGTTTTTACTATATAAAACGGGGTTAAAACAATAGTCAATGAGCTGAATTCTGTGTTCTTTCATTTTGAGTTATAAGCACAAAACACACAATTTACTACTAGAAAAGCTAGGACATCAAGATGAATCTGAGTCAAAATGTTCAAAATCAACTTTTATGTATAAGGCATTCCAAATTCTATCATATTTGCTGCTGTTTTCTTTCATTAACCATAATTAGGAAAATGAAATACTTACTGACGACGGTGCATTCCAAGTATCTTTTGAAATTCTTTCAATTCTTTTTCAAGTATTGGATATTCATAAACATCATCCAGTACATTCCTATATATGGTCTGGAGAAAAAAGACAAATGACAGCTGAGTGGTTGAATGCCCATTTTGTAGGGATTAAGACTCATACCATGGCTATCCTAACAGAGGAAATAAGGAGGGATCCAGGACAACGCGCGGGTTTCACCAGGTGCCAATAAGATCCAGAGTGGGATCATAACTCGTAGCTTCTCTGTCAACTGCCATGGCTCTCTATCTGCTTTCAGGGCCATAGGTAGAAATTCTGGAAAGAGAACTCTAGAGATCTCTGGCTAGCTGGCTACTAGAGATTTCCATGCCCATTCTATATCTTAAAAAATGATAGGCCAGGCGTGGTGGCTCACGCCTGTAATCCAAGCACTTTGGGAGGCCAAGGCAGGCAGACCACGAGGTCAGGAGATGGAGAACATCATGTCTAACACAGTGAAACCGCGTCTCTACTAAAAAAAAAAAAAAAAAATTAGCCATGTGTGGTAGTGGGCGCCTGTAATCCCAGCTACTCGGGAGGCTGAGGCAGGAGAATGGCGTGAACCCAGGAGGTGGGGCTTGCAGTGAGCCAAGATCGCGCCACTGCACTCCAGCCTGGGCAACAGAGCAAGACTCCATCTCAGAATAATAATAATAATAATATTGGTTGGGTGTGGTGGCTCAGGCTGTAATCCCAACACTCTGGGAGGCTGAGTAGGGAGCATTGCTTGAGCTGAGTACGAGATCAGCCTGGGCAACAAAGCAAGACTCTATCTCTACAAAAAAGAAAAAATTAGCTGAGTGTGGTAGTACATGCCTTTAGTCCCAGATAGTCGGGAGGTTGAGGGGCAAGGATCTGTCAAGCTCAAGAGTTTGAGGTTGCAGTGCACTATGACTGCGTCACTGCACTGCAGCCTGGGTAGCAGAGCAAGACCCTGTCTCAACACACACACACACACACACACAATTCCACATTGGGAGAAAAATCATTTGGGAGAAAAAAGTCAATTGAATTAAATTAAGCAGTTGCTTTGAAAACAACATGAGTTTAAAAGAGTTGGTTAGACTCATTTTTAACTGGATGCCTAAATGACAACTGAATGTTGAATTCAAAGTGGTTTCCTTCATGAAAGGCTGAGTCTATTTAGGCAGTTGCCTACTCTGAACTAGAACTCTTCCTTGCTAAAATTCCATTCCATTCCTTATCTGTCCTAACCTGTAGATTTAATATGATTTTTGTGGCAAAAGGAATCCAACTGTCTTACTAATCATCTCTCCAGATAATCATCTGTTGTTGAAAAGATATTGAAGCCTATTAATTAGAAAAAATAAATCAGTTTGTCTCACTCTAAATGTAAATCTACATTATATCTATTTACACATTATTGCTTAAAATTCTCAAAGTATACCATGTCTGACAAACATTTCATAGAACATATATTGTCAATATAGTTTTTAAATCATAATGTTTTATGCAAATATTATATATAGAGGACTGGTTACTTTAAACTTATAATGAATATCAACATATTAAGCTGTATCAAATTTTGAATGTTTTGGTTTACCTTCCTTAATTATTTCATTAGCAATCAAAATTTCCATGACTTTTAGACATGGAATATCAAGCTTCAGAAGTCAAAATAACTTATATATTCTCTGAATCACAACTTGACTATCACAAGAAAGTTGAATGACTGTTACCTACAAATGAGATTTTTAAGATGCATGACTTAAAGTAAAATCAGTTATTTTGCATCAAAGAATACCTGGAAACGTTGGATTACCTTTAAAAACATTTTTGAATGTTCATCTTCATGTAACCAGTCTTTGTACAGAGCAATCCACTGGGAAACAAGATGCAAGACTTTACGTTTCCTACGCGGAACATCTGAGTTTTCCTCTTTGCCTTGATACTTCTTAGCGGAATAGGTGCAAATGGTTAAGAAAAAATTATATTGTTGAAAATTTAAAAATATGAAGACATCCATTTACTCTTATTTGTACAAAATATATGAAGGCATACAAGCGTATAAACATGCAGGAAGAACAGAATACACGTAGGGAGAGCAAACGGTGTGCACTGAAAAGAGCAAAAGTAAACTGAGGAAAATGACTGAAGTATACTCAGTGGGCAGCCAGGAAGTGAAGGCTCGGGCCATTTCACTGGCAGCTGCTGACATGCTTCCATAGGCAACATGTGGTTAATGCCAGCACGAGGAGATAGTAGGTGGCCCATTAATTTCAACAGTGACTCCAAGAAGAGAGCTGGCTTCAGTACACAGGTGAATACTATTTCAGTACATTTTAGGTAAGAATGAGGCCAGGTGCTGTCTGGTCCTCAGAAATTCACATTCTGTAAAACCAGGTGCTTCTAAAGTAGTTCCAAATGAGTATAGATCTCTGGAACACAATTTGTAACATGATTCAAATGCCCACTCGTAGGAATTTACTTAAGAAAACATTGGATACCTGTGCAAACACAGAGGTAAAAGGGACTGCTAATTTTCATTCTGGTTGAATTAAAAAATAATGGGAAATAACCTAAATGCCTCAGCAACTGAGAACGGTTGACTAAGTTATTACATATCCATTTAATGGACTATTCAGCAGCCATAAACATGATGGTCCAGCAGTACCTTTACTGACAGAGAATATGCACAATGTATTGTTGAGTAGAAAAGCAAGTAAGAAAAGAATATGTTAGGATGATCTACTTCTGTTAACAATGTTAATTTATATGATTAATCTCACTATCTGGAGAGAGATATATACTAAATAGTTAACAGTGGCTTCTCAAGGTACTGAGGTTTTAGAGTACATGAATTATTTTTATTGTACTTATTAGCATTTCCTAATTTATATACAATGACCATATGTTAACTATGCTGTTAAAATTACATAAAAATAACAACCTCAAAGGCAAAGTATTTAAATGACCAGGAATGCAACAGCAGCTTGGCATATTCTAAACCGATCTATTCTTGTTGTCTCCAAAATGATAATTTCTGAGTGTCTTGGACACATTAAATAGATGACTAGGAATAGGGAATGCTATGACATCAAACACTTGAGGGTTGTTGGACAGGATTATATATTCTTTAACACTGATATATAATTGCAAAGTTGGAATAAACTTTATGTCAGGCTTTGTAAATATTTTAAAATATGGTTTAGTCAATGTCTCCCCATCCTGCAAAAATACATTAAGACCACCTTTGATTTCCACCTGTGAAATAAACTCAGCCAAACACAAAAAAAGTTGCTATTTCTTTTAGTTTTTCTCTTGAAAGGCAAAATATAATAAAGATTTATCTAGGCCAACCATGGTGGCTGATGCTTATAATCCCAGCACTTTGGGAGGCTGAGGCAGGAGGAGTGCTTGAGCCCAGGAGTTTAAGGTCAGCCCAGCGAAGAAAGTGAGACCTCATCTCTACAAAGAAAAAAATTAACTAGGTATGGTGATGCACATCTGTAGACCCAGCTAGTTGGGAGGCTGAGACAGGAGGGTCACTTGAGCCTGGGAGGTTTAGGCTGCAGTGAGCCATGATCAAGCCACTCTACTCAGCCTAGGCAACAGAGCAAGATGTGTCTCAAAGATTTATCTTACATTATTTCCCCTTAAACAAATGTTCTTCTCTTCTTTTCCTGTGAATATAATACCTTCACTAATATAAAGAAATCAAGAAAATTAAGAAATGCAATTTTTTAGGTCATCATATATAAATGAAGATAGGAACTTTGTATTCAGGCTGCATATATATGTTCTACAATTATGGACTAGCAGAATAAAGTAACTGCAAGAAGCAACACTTCAACCATTTTCCATTCATAAACAGTTATCTGCTGTACCTTGTTTTCCTCCCTGCAAGATATAATTTAAAATATATTTACTGGTTAAATTTGCATTTGTATTAATCTGATTTCTAATATTAGGAAACAGACATTCTTTTATATTTTGTCTATGCTAGATTACACTGATTTATAAATTTAGCTGCTGATGGAAATAGTGGGAAGGCATGTGGTGAGAGTTATAACTTCTATGTAATGCACAGAATATTAGCTGGCCCACAGCTATGAATTTAATGCTCTTTATGATGCTCTTAAATACTATTACAATAAAAATACTTATCTATAAAATATCTAAAACCAGCACAAATAGCTTTAATCTATAAATAATGTTTTAAAACCATTGGGAAAAAAACAAATAATTTAGACTACTTGTAAGAAGTTGGTTGTAGGGGAATATGCAACACATCTTCACTAAGATGTGCATAAAAATATCTCACATTAAATATAGATTCCGTTTTCGTTTGTGGTATTGTTTCACAAAAGGCAGAGTGCAAATATACAGAAACAATCATAATGAAAGACTTCTGGCTTAAAACGTTTTGAGTTCATGGGTTTTGATTATTGGTAAAAAGGCTGATAAAAATCTGAACCACAGTTTTGTATATAATGTCTTAGTCAAAGACTCAAAACATATATATGAAAGTTAAGTTCTAGAGATTGTTTAGGGACATCCTATAGTACATTAAATTATTAAATGATAATCACAAATAACATTAGGATCATAGTTAAAGAATGTAGTTTAAAGGCATCTCCTTTGTTATAAATACATTTTATATTACTTGATGGATGAATTGTTTTAGAAATATGTTAGCATTAAAATGTAAATGAAATTAGTTCACAGATATTTTTTCAAAACACTTTTGAAGAAAGAGATGTTCAAAATCTTATCGTTATTGCTAAATGTGGAGCAACGCTCCACTTGAAAGCTGTGAAGGAAATCTGCACATATTATTGAAACTTTCCAAATTCAAAACTAACTCACAATGTTTCAAGATCAACTTTATGAACTGGTTCTAAAAAGTGGCAAAATATCTACTATAGCTTTGTTTGGTCATAGGATATAGTAAAGCACTACAAAGTAATCATCATTTCCAATTATACATATATTTTAAGAGAGATGCTATTTTATGCCCTTTATGAAGTTTTAAAGTATTATTTTAGGTGGGAAAACGCTGTAAAGTTGGGAGACATGTAACAATTATTTAATAGAGAAAGAATATTAAATAAGCATTATCATTAGGTCTTTTGTTTGCTTGTTTTTGAAGACAGTCTCCCTCTGTCATCTAAACTGGAGAGCAGTGGCGTGGTCCTGGCTCACTGCAGCTTCAACCTCCTGGGCTTAAGTAATCCTCCTCCCTCAGCATCCCATGCAGCTGGGACCACAGGCACATGCCATCATGCCCAGCTAATTTTGGTATGTATCTATATCTATATCTATATCTATACATCATGCCCAGCTAATTTTGGTATATATCTATATCTATCTATCTATACCAAATATCTATCTATCTATATACCAAATATGTATATTAGAGATCGCATCTCATTATGTTGCCCAGGCTGCTCTTGAACTCCTGGACCCAAGCAATCCTCCCACCTTGGTCTCCCAAAGTGCTGGAATTACAGGTGTGAGCCACTGCACCCAGCTATCATTAGGTCTTAATAGAACTTTAGTATATACAAAAGCAATCCATTTTCCTTAAAATTTTCATGTGGTTTAGAGTGGAATCTTCAGTTTCATTTAATAGAAACAGTACAGCAACAGCCTATTTAAATGCTTAAATGCATCTGAATACATTAAATACTGTGAAGCAAGAAGACCACTTGGAGACTTTCAGTAACTTTTCATGGCTTTGTTCTGTGGTGTTTCAATGATCCTATGTTGCATCTCTTCTAGTTAGTGAATAAAATTATAAGGCTTCCTTAACTGGTCATTAACCTTCTAATCACATCCATCATTCTAAGACAGCATGCAGTGACAAAGCTGTGAAAAGATGGCAGAGGATTCCAGGGGCTAGGTTTGACCTCCCATGTGGGGGAATGGCCTGTCTTCCCTGAGACACTTGCCAGGAACATGATATCACATACGTGCATTTTGCTTCACAAGTGGTCTGACACTTAACTAACTTGTTCTCCTTTAAGTCCATTTATTCCATGATCTTGCCATTCCACACAGTCTCTTGACTCTGGGGTTTACCCAGCAGGCCAATTTTGCCTCCAGATTTCTAAGCAATCATAAGGCACAGATATGAAGCAAACGTAATATAAACAGTATAATATAGCCACAACATAGAATGTGAAAACAGCCGTTCACATTTCCAGTTTCCTCTGTCTGTCTCATTTCATCTTCTACCTTGGATATCATTACATTAATATTTAACATATCCACACTCTACTGTGGGGTTGAATAAATTAAGGAAGGCAGTTAATTCCTAATGTGGGACATCTGTCTGAGAGGAAGTGGTCACAGCAGCCTGAAGATAATGAAGGATATTGCCTTAACAGAGCCTGGCACAAGTCATCAGTTGTCATGAAGACAGTGTACGTGAGAAGGAAGTCATCCAGGAGGGTCTCTGCAAAGAAAAAAAAAAAATACAAGTAAGCAAAGAGGTGGATAAGAAGAACAGCTGCTTTCCAGGCCCCAGAACCATGTGCATGGCAGAAATATGATAAATTTTGATGGCTGTGGGAGGGATTAGAATAGGAGAATTTTAGCCATGAAGGACATTATTTATTAAAATTAAGATATGAAAAACTCCTTATATCAAATGCCTCAAGCAATAAGATATTTTTGTTGCAGAGCTCTCTAAACATACAATTTTGTTATCATCTTGTTTTCCTGAAACCTCATTTATATTTGTGGGTAAAGATGATACAGAAACCAATGCATAAATAATGTGCATTAAAAAATAAATTTTATAAGATTTCTGAGGTGTACACTCAAGTCCTACAGGGAATAAAGCCCTCATGTGTTAATAAATTAAGATTTTTTCCAAAGCCATTTACTTAAGTCTAGGGCAAGAACAATGAATAATAAAATCCAGAAGACACATATCAAGTTCCAAGGCCATTCACCTTTATCTCTTAAATGCATCTTTAAGAAGTTGGGAAAGTGATGAGTGATTTTCTTAGTCTTGAAGAGAGACAGAACTGAGTCCAGTTAAAATTGGAGAGCAGGTACAATGTATCACAACATACTTCTTCCTAATTTCTTTTTTCTACCAACCAAACCAGGTTACATTGTTATCATCTTTGTGCTTTGAGTGCTCTTGGAAGAGTTCAGTTTGTGTACAATATGGAATTGCTAAAGAGGCAAACATTGACCTTCAATGTAATTTCCAATATGGTACAAAAGATTATTGTTTTCCAGCATTCATGGTTTTTTTGTTTGTTTGTTTTTTTGCTGTACAGATTCTGAAAGTAATTGAGTGGTATGAATTAAAATACTATAATCAAAATGATGCACTTCAAATGAAAGTAGTGATTTGGCAAAGCAGTTTTTGCCATAATAGTCTTTATCTAGTCTCCTTAACTTAAAATTCGTTTTACTATATGATTTAATCTTCATCTTTTACATTCCAGACATCACATTTTTAGTTATATAAAACAGTAATAAATTATTAGAGTAATTAGTTTGTGTACTGTTGTTACTGGACTGAATGCTTATGTCCTCTGCAACACTCCCACCCCCGCCACTTTATATGTTGAAACCTTACCCCCAGTGTGATGTATGAAGAGGGGGTATTTGAGAGGTAATTAGGATTGGATAAGGCCATGAGGGTGGAGCCCTCATGAATGACATTGCTCTCTTTATAAGAGTCCTGAGAAAGCTCCTTTCCTCTCTCTACCACACAAGGATACGAGGAGACTGTGGTCTATGAACCAGGAAGCAGGTCCTCACCAGACTCTGAATCTGGCAGCACCTTGATCTTGGACTCCCCAGTCTCCAGGCTGTGAGAAATAAATGTCTGCTGTTTAAGCCTCCCAGGCTATGGTATTTTGTTACAGCAGCTTAAGCTGACTAAGACATATACTCAATAGTGCTTATGCTCTCCAAGATCTACACCTTATAATGATGATGTGTAAGTAAAAATAATTGCCCAGTATACAGCCCTATAGCTCTACATTGAAGACTGGATGAAAGAAAATCTCCAGAATTTTTAGGAATAACCAGTAATATTTACTTTAAAAGTTAATCAGAAAAACAAGGTTATATTTATGAACACAAAACTCTGATATAAGAGGTTGTGGATGACATCTATAAATTCTATATTAGCTGCAGGGCATAACTTATTTCTGCTTGGTGGCAGAATATCAAGGTAATCCTAATCCACATAGGTAAGTGGTTGCAAATGGTAGTTTTTTTAAAAGCTTGCTTTTTAATTGCAAGATGCCCATAATTAAAATGAACCAAGGGTGTTAATGAAGAGTATTAATTTATCTGAAAGATATTTTATCTATAAGTCATAGTATTCCTTGTCAAAATAATAAATTTTACAAATTTTATTTGAAATATGTTTTTAAAAGTCTAAACTTACATTATTGTATCACACTGCAATATGTTAGCAATCACTAGTCTAACTTACTATTTACTCTATAGCAAAAGCAAATTCCTAAACAGATATACCTGGGCCTTGCTGGGCATAAATGAGAACTAGCACAAAAAAGCTGTGGTAGTGTGCCTGATCCGACAACGTTACATGTATGAGTGGACACGCACAGCCTGCGTACGCAGAAGAGCCAGGGGCCCCCTACTAGAGTCTCTGTTTATGGACGTTTCAAATATATGAACAAGGCACGGGAAGGTTTACTTTACTTGTCTCCAAACAAGTTAACCTGGCAGCTCAAGTTAATCACTGGTCATCCTAATGAGAAATTTGGAATATATAATGTGTGCCTTTCATTACAGTTTTTAAAAACAGTTTCAAGTGGCCGGGAGCGGTGGCTCAAGCCTGTAATCCCAGCACTTTGGGAGGCCGAGACGGGCGGATCACGAGGTCAGGAGATCGAGACCATCCTGGCTAACACAGTAAAACCCCATCTCTACTAAAAAATACAAAAAACTAGCTGGGCGAGGTGGCGGGCGCCTGTAGTCCCAGCTACTCAGGAGGCTGAGGCAGGAGAATGGCGTGAACCCAGGAGGAGGAGCTTGCAGTGAGCCCAGATCACGCCACTGCACTCCAGCCTGGGCGACAGAGCGAAACTCTGTCTCAAAAAAAGAAAAAAAATAAATCAGTTTCAATTAAAATTGATCACTTGCATATTAGCTGGCAACCAAGGATATTTTGGAAATACAATTTGAAAACTATCCCTCTGGGATTCTGTTGAAGAGTAATGCTTACAAATTACAACATTTCTCTGTGTTAAATGTGATTGATGGAAATCCTCAACCTTTCCTGTCTGATTAGAAATTAAGCTGAATCTGGCCAGGTGTGGTGGCTCACATCTGTAATCCCAGCACTTTGAGAGGCTGAGGTGAGTAGATCACTTGAGGCCAGCAGCTAGAGACCAGCCTGGCCAAAACTGTGAAACCCCATCTCTACTATTAAAAAAAAAAAAAAAATAGCTGGGTGTAGTGGTGCACGCCCGTAATCCCAGTTACTAAGGAGGCTGAGGTGGGAGGATGGCTTGAACTCAGGAGGTGGAAGTTGCAGTGAGCCAAGATCATGTCACTGCCCTCTAGCCTGTGCAACAGAGTGAGACTCTGTGTTTAAAAAAAAAAAAAAAAAAAAAAAAAAAAAAAAAAAAAAAAAAAATTAGGCTGAATCTTCCCAGACACTCAGGAGGCTGAGATAGGAGGATGGCTTGAACCCAGGTGGCAGAGGCTACAAGTGAGCCAAGATTATGCCGCCGCACTTTAGCCTGGGCAACAAAGAGAGAGTTTGTCTCAAAAAAAAAAAAAAAAAGTTAAGCTGATTATTTTGTGCACTCAATGTTAGATACAAGCAGCAAGGACAACAGAGTAGTTTTTTTTGTTTTGTTTTGTTTTGTTTTGAGACTGTCACCCAGGCTGGAGTGCAGTGGTGGGATCCCGGCTCACCGCAAACTTCGTCTCCCAGGTTCAAGTGATTCTTGTGCCTCAGCCTCCCAAGTAGCTAGGACTACTGGCATGCACCACCATGTCCAGCTAATTTTTGTAGTTTGAGTAGAGATGGGGTTTCACCGTATTGGCTGGGGTGGTCTCAAACTCCTGGTCTCAAGTGATCCGCCCACCTCGGCCTCCCAAAGTGCTGGGATTACAGGCATCAGCCACTGAGCCTGGCCAACAGAGTAGCTTTGAATCTAGTTTAGGGTTTTCAATGGCTCTTGTAGATAGGAGCCACCAGTGTGCAGAAACCATTGGGTAACAGCATTGAGAGGGAGTTGGCATTTACAATGCTGGATGTGACATACAGGTTCAGACTCTTTGGGGTGTTCTTACACTTAGCTGCATTTAATGAGATTAGAACTATTCTCTAATCATGAGTTACTCCATTAGTAGCTGAGATTAAAAAGAACACCATTAAACCATTAACTTTGACATAACCAGTCATTCTATTCCAGAACAACCTTAGATAATGAACTATCAGAGTCTGCTTGGATGGTGGCAAACCCATTTGGCATTCAATTCAATTAATCAGCTCACATATGACAATATTTTGTAAAGGGCTTTGACCCAGAAATGCCTATTTTCTCCTAAGCTAATATCATATTTAAAATTCAACAGCACTTACCTAATTATCTCTCTGTCATAGAAATATTAATTAAAATAAAAACAATGAGGCTATACAAAAACAGCTCCAGTTGAAGTCCTAATAAATAGTTAAAAATTCTAATGAATAGAACAGATTTCCAATACTCCTAACTCAAATATCTCTCTAACTGCCATATTGTTGTAAATTTTTCTATATAAAGAGCTTTCTTTTATTCTTTTCCAGCATTCATGTTTTTTTTTTTTTCTTTGCTCTACAGATTCTGAAAGTAATTGAGTGGCATGAATTAAAATACTATAATCAAAATGATGCACTTCAAATAAAAGTGCATTTTATAATAGCCATGCTTCCAAAAAAGAGGCTGTCCCATTGGTATTTAGAGATATTTTTAGAACCACGATGGTTATATGAATGATCCCCTGAAGACTATTAGCTGACAATAGCCATTTAGAAAGACTAACAAATCCACTGGCATCCAAATTAAAACACTGTAATTATCTATTACTCTACATAGTCCTTAATAATAATTTAAGACAACAGGCAGAAAAGCATGTTTGTATACATAAAAGTATCTTTCATTTAAACAAATTCATAGTTGCCATACATACTAACATTCTGAATAAAAAAGGTATTCATTTTGATTTCTAATTTTGTGAATACTTAGGCATATTAATATGCATATATTAATATGCAAAAACTTTTTCTTTGAGATATATACATATATATATATATATTTTTTTTGAGATGGAATTTCACTCTTGTTGTCTAGGCTGGAGTGCAGTGGTGCGATCTCAGCTCACTGTAACCTCCACCTCCCAGGTTCAAGCGATTCTCTGGCCTCAGCTTCCTGAGTAGTTGGGACTACAGGTGTGCACTACCAT